TTACGCTTAAACTTTAAATATACAGTATATATATCTATATAAATATTATCAATGAATGACTCGTCTATTTTATATATTTATTTATATATGTWCATTACAACACTATTGTGAATACAATAATAGTGAATATTTATTATTATCTTATATCATATCATATAAATAAATAAAACATACACTGATTATATTTGTATGAATAATGATTGCTTCGGCATTTATTTATTTATTTGTGTGTATTTTTGTCCAAATGATAATTTTTTTCAAACAATTAACTTAAAACCTGATATATATATATATATAAAGTATAATATATATTTAAGTATTGTCTCAAACAAATGTATATACACTGTATACTGTAAGCAAAATTATGATTGCAGAGACAATGAAAAAAATATAAGAGAGTCGACATTGCAATTATGACCATTATAATGGTTATGTATATTATATAATATATATATATATATATATATATATATATATATATATATATATATATATATATATTTGCATTTTTCCAAAAAAGCTTACAAGTAATATAAACTAGGTTATGCAAAAATAGCTCCCAAAAATATTGTTTTAGTTTTGTTTTGTTAAACASTWMRTTAATAAGTTTATTCAACTATAATATTTTTGCATTATATTATTATTATTATATATATAATCCATCCATCGGCTAATTGTATATTAATATAAAAAATATATATATCTCATTAGACTCTATTAAATCAGTTATCACATGCATGATATCTAATTAATTATTTTTATAATAATTATATAATTAAAAAGAGTCTAAATAAATATAATAAGCAAAAAAATAAAATAATACAATATATAAATATAATTAGACTGTTTTTTTCATTTTAATTGTCTAACAATGGTTGCTAACTTATTATATAATAATAATAATCCTAAGTGTAGGCAAATTTTTTTTAGACAATATGCCAATTATAGACAGTGTAGACTAAATAAACTGTTTTTTGTTGTTGTTTTGTTTTGGATATACACACACAGAATAAATGTATTATTTTATTTACAGTGAATTTTAAATATATATAGAGAGAGAGAAAAAAAATTGTGAAAACATAAATTTTTGGTTTTTTACAACAAACAAAACAAAACAAAAAACATTTATCTGTTTATTTATCTAATATGAATATCTAATAGTTTAKGGAAAACTATTAGAAAACAGTTTTGAGATTATATGATATTATAACGATAAATAATTATTCACACAATTTGTTTGTATATATATATCTATTTCAATTTTTTATTTTTAAATTAAACAGATACATAAATTTTTTTCTTCCACTCACACACAYACACACACAATAAATAAATAAATATATATATATATATGAATATTATAAGTACAGTATATTAGACAGTATATTATTATAAGTTCAATATTTGTTGCCCTGGTTAGATCCCAGAACATTCTGGGCTAGGCTAGGCTAGGCCAGGGATATCATCTAAGCTAACTAAGCAAATGTCACACATTTTATATACTACCGGGGACTCTAAGGGTTTCACTTTTTAAAGTTTTGCAAGTGGTAATACAGTATATAATATATATACTGTATATGCAAATACCAGTTTCAAATATATATATATATATATTAGTAATGTATGTGTAATATAATCCCAAACAGATTAAGATGGGAACCAATTTGTTGAAACCAAAGATCTTATTGCAAAATGAAGAAACAAAAATCTTTTATTTTATTTTTTTTTGGTTTTTGGTTTTTATTTGACCGTTTGRTTTATAGTTTTCAATACACTTTTGTTTCAAACAGTTAGCAAAATGTGAAATATTATCTCTCAATATATATATATATATATATATATAGGGTATAGAAAATATATGACCAGAAAACATTGTGGTGTGTGTGTGTGAGCCCAGTAAATGCAAAAATATAAAGCACTGGTATTTACCAATTTTTAGTCTACTATATATGACACTATTATAYATRTATACTGTAGTAGTCCATGTGAAAAACCTAACTGTTCAACAACAACAACAACTACAGCACCGACTGATCTGGATTTTTTTAATGTTTTTATTGACCACAACTGATATCTGTGCAGCAAAAAAGGCATTTACAGTATATTTTTTGATGCAAACGTTTTTTTTCTCAAACTATTTTCACACAAAAAATAAATATATAAATTTCTGTAAATAAAAGACTGTAATGTTTTCAAAGTCACATAATGTTGTCAACGCGAAAGTCATCAAAAAAATAAATAAATAAAAGTTATATAATGTTATAAACAATGCTAATGTATTGTATGAGAGAAACTGATGAAATAAAAACTTTTTTTTTAAACAATTTTTCCTCTTAAATATGTTATATTATGATGTATAGCTATTTCATAAAAAACATATTGTTGATATAGCATATGAAAAGTTTATTTTTTGAATATATACAATAATGTATACAATACAGTATGTATATAATTATAGTTATGTTTGTAGTCGAGAGAGTCGTTAAATTTTGTCGAAAAAAAATTTCATAATTGATGTCTTGACTTGACTTTGATAAACTCGATGCCATAGATAGAGACAGTTGAAAATTGCTTAAATTAGTCTATTTTTGGTCACCTAAATGCATGTCTCTGAGCACACCATCACCACCAAACACTACTACTCATTATTATTATTATTATTATATTTTTATATTTTTAATTTTGATGTCTCGTAGAAATGTGTTACTATTACTACTACTACTACTATTACTACAGGAAAGGCTCCATTCATTAGTATTTTAGTAGTAATCTTAAAATATGTATGTCTTTCACTAAAAACTTATATATCTTAAGGACAAGAAAGAAGAGTAAGAAGACAAGAGATACGAAAGAGAGAGAGAGAGAGAGAGAGAGAGAGAGAGAGAGAGAGAGAGAGAGAGAGAGAGAGAGAGAGAGAAAGTAAATCTTAGAAATACTAATGAAGACTCTTTCCTGTTATTGCATCTGTTATTACATGTGTTCAAAGCCATCAAAATAAAAAAATTTTGCCAAAAAAATTGTGACCATAGGATGTAAGCAAGGAATCAGTTTAGCATAAAATTATAAAAGCTTTTTATTTTATTTTATTTTTTTAAATAATCGATTATTAATAAAATTCAATTCCGTTATCTATTAGTTTATATCTGTATATATAATTTCAATGTTAATGACTAAATGAATAAATTTTCCATTAGATATGTACAGTATATAATAAAAGCTCAGCACCAGGTGCTCAGCAGCACTGGGAATCCCTGGTCACCAATGATTTTTTGACTGAAAACTTTTAACTGAAAAAGGAAATTGTGTTGAATTTCATCAAATATATAAATAATATACAATAATATATTTATTTATATATATCTGTCCGGAAGGCCCATCAACTGTTTTGGGGCATAAATCAAGATTTTTACTATTTTTTTGGGTGACTTTGAAATATATATCCATATAATTATTTTTCATGAATTTAAGGCACACTTTCCTCTTTTACTAAATATAATCAATTCAAGTGCTGCTGCCATAAATCAATGCACCGATTTGTTAAACTAGACAATCGGAACCTAAAAACTTGTGTTTCCCAATACATAAACTGTATATTTACACAGTATATACAAAATATATTCAATATATTTATAATAAACACATTGATTAATATTTAAACAAACAATAGCTATATTTAGATATTTTTTTATGTCTGCCAGTAATACCAAGTTCAGTATCATCACTGATATGCATCATCAGTACTAACGCAAACTTTATATATATTTTGGTTTTTTATGATCCCTATATAAGATTATTATTTATTATTTTTTTAAGACTACTATCATTAAGGAAAATATGCATATAATTTATTATTAGACATTTCAATGGTATATACARTACAGTATATAYATAGTATATATATGCTATAAATTATAGCCTATAATACACAAAAATTTTTGTTATAATTAATAATTATATATTAAAATAAATTATGTATACTTTTGTRGCCACACATTTTAAATATGATAAATGATCATGGTCAATTCTCTATTTTAAATTAATAACTTCCACATCTATTTTTTTGTCGCTTTGTTAGCCTGTGAGACAACTATTTTATTTTTTATTTTTTTGTCAATCAATTTAATTAAATTATTGCATTAATAAAATAATTTATGATTTTTTTTTTTTTGCTATAATATTGAATTTGTATAGAAAAATAAATTTGTATGTAATTGATTATTATAATAATAATAAATTAAAATTAATTTTTGAAACTTTTGTAACAAACAAACAAAAATTGATGTCTTACTTAACTTTTTTTTTTAAAATCCCAAATTATATGCAAACAACTGTTTTGTTTGGGGATGTCATAGATTTTATCGACAAAAAAAACATTCGCCTCTAAACTTCCCGACAAACCCTTTTGGACATACATTTAGGGATATGTCAAACACATATATCAATATATATGATATATATTATTATTATACACCCAAACCGTTGGTCACCCTAAATACCCTCTCTTTCTCTATCTCTAACTCCTAATGATAAACTTGTAGATAAAATAATGGATACATAATATAGCGTCTAATATATGGTTTAAGCGGTAATTTAAAAGCATATCATATATTCTCTGTGTGTGTATATAATTGTAATATAAGTTAACTGCAAAACAAAAATCAGGAAAAAACAATTGATAAACTAATTAAAAACTATTATACAAATATCTTAAATGAGTATTTAATAATCTAATGATTTTTTAAACGATATCCTGTGTTATTGAATAATATACATTAAAAAAATTTATAATATAATTTATATAACTTTAARAAWWTTTTTCTTTAAAATTTTTTTATTAATTATAACCACAAAATAATAGCCATTGGCTATATGTCAGTGACTATTGCTATGCAATGATATTATAATACTGTATGTAATATAATAATTATTATTATGTAGAAAATATAGGAACATTTATTTATTGCACTTAACATACAATCCCTCTTATGAAAGCCAGTGTTGTGTTTGCTTTCATACTGTATATACATTTTAACCGTAATTATTAGCAATACTACTGCAATAATATGACAATAAAAGGCTAGCATTTAATATATATAGACTATACTGTTGTTTGTGTTATTTGATTGTTATTTAACATTCAAAATATTATCAACGATTGTATTGTGTATTTGATTTGATTTGAAAGACAAAAGACAAAGGAAGAAGTAGTAGTAGTCGTAGTGGTTATCACTGGTATGTGAAGATTGTCTCTCATCGACTTTGAGTGACCACCGATATAAGGTAAGTGACGGTTAGGATCTGTATAATCGCGATATAGAGATCCGATTTAGTGACCATTGAATTAAATTTATGATTATTTAGTTGACAACACACATAGATAGACACATGATGTCGGCCAACACCGAATCGGTAGTGACCGGCAAGACATGGGAACTGAGTCTCTACGAACTGCATCGGACGCCGCAAGAAGTGATTACCGATGCAACAGAAATTGCTGTCAGTCCGCGTAGTCTACACTCGGAACTGATGTGTCCGATATGTCTGGATATGTTGAAGTGTACGATGACTACCAAAGAGTGTTTGCATCGTTTCTGTCAGGAGTGTATCATAACAGCCCTGCGAAGTGGCAACAAAGAGTGTCCCACGTGTCGCAAGAAACTGATCTCGAAGAGGAGTCTGAGGCACGACCCGAACTTTGATATGTTGATCAGTAAGATATATCCGTCGCGGGACGAGTACGAGGCCCATCAGGAAAGGGTTTTGGCCAAACTTAACAAACATCACTCACAAAATTTTGTCAACAATATCGAAGAAAGCTTACGAATACAATCCCTGAACAGAGCCCAACGTTTCAAGAAGTTTAACGACGAATCGTTTACCGATAGACCAGGTAATTGACTGTCCAATCGGTCCAATTGGTTATCGGCTTATCACCAATTGATTTCTGATTACAAATTTCTAATATGTATTATCTTTTTTTTCGTTTTGATTTACCAGACTCTCCCCAATCGATGAGCGGTGATTCGACACCATTGACACATAAAAAGAAGTTTAAAATATCTGAAAACGAGTCAAATTGCGGTTCAAATCATGAAAACGATGGCAACGACACAGATGGTACCGAAACAGAAAGATCGTCATCGAGTACACCGCTAATGGATGTACAAAGTCCGCCACATTTTCCCATTTATCACGAAATTGAACTCGTCTTTAAGCCGTTTCCACAGCCGGGCGGCGACCAACACGATCAGGTGTTGACACAAACGCGTTATATTAAGACGACAACCAACGCATCGGTCGATCATTTAGTCAAATACCTGTCGATGAGACATATACTCGACTGTTCCAATGGCGGAACCACCCAGAAGGACGTTCGGGAGTCATCGAGCGATGCATCGTTATTCACCATTTCGATAGCTTCGGGCAGTCCTGGCGAGTATAAGATGCTGTCCGGACCTATGACTTTGAATGAGATCAACGATAAGTTTTGGAAAGTTAACCGACCTCTGGAACTGTTCTACGCTTACAAACTCGAAACTGTTTCTTGAGTTGTCTCTTTAGAGGGCAACCCAATGGATAAAAAACCCCTTTTCAGCCGCCCACCCCTCCCCTTTGGCTATTGTTTCTCATTTGAACACACATTTGACTCACACTCACTATCATATAATCATTTAACTTTTGTATTTTTTTTGTCCAATCATTTATTTACCGCATTTACATACGGTATATATATATTATATTCTCTATACATATTTATTTTTCCTTTTATTTTGAAAGTTTAATTAAAAATATATAGTAATTAAAAATTAAAAGTTGAAAACCATTATCAAGTTATACTTCGGCCAACAAACGGTGTGGCCAACAAATGTTTACGATGATGATTACCGGTACCACCAAATGTGTGGTCGTATTTGGCACAGTGGCCGAGTCAACAAACGGTAAATAACATTAAACAACAACAACAACCAATAATAATAACATTTAAATATTTTTAATATTATATTATGAAAATACACATTGAAAAATTATACATTGGTTAATTTAATAATAATAATAATAATACAATTTTTGTTGTTGTAAAACGAAACAAAATGAAACATCATTGGTAATTATAATTGACCAGTTTATGAGAGCAAAAAAAAACAAAACAAAAAATGATAATAATTATAATATAATAACAAATCGTTAGAAATAAATCTATATATAAATCTTTTATATATATATATATATATATATATATTTACAGTATATATATATACTGTATATCGTATATAATATGTCAATCATTGTTGTTGTCTATTATCGTCAAAATTGAATCTCTCGGGCCTTTCCTCAGCCAATGGTTCCTCTTGTGATTCAAATAAGAATTTTCTGTAAATAACATAATAATAATAAAAAAAAAGTATTGTATTATTAATAAATTGTAATTTTTTTTTGTTGAAAAAAATCAATTATCGATATAATATATATATATTATCGTACATAATCTTCGGTGTTTCTAATATCCTGAAGCCGCCCCTCTGATTGGGAAATACATCCTCCAGGAAGTAGTAGACGTGTCCGACGGCAATGCCCATCAGGTCGACCAGTATGGCGTTGCCGAGTAGTAGCGAAAAGGCCAGCAAAACCCACGGCAGGTAAGGAGCCTGAAAGTTGAGCAAACCGAAGAAGTTCATCCGTACGTATGGATTACGTCGGGACCAGACATAGACCAACATTATGGTGAATGCGTGGCCCAAGAATAACAGATTGACGAAGAATGCGATTATCTATAAATTTAATCACAACAACATCATGGGATCAATTAGTTTTTTTTGTTGATAAGATACTCAACAACAATAGAAAACATACAATCATAAGAATGGCGCCGAAGACAAACATGTAGAAGAAGTCGGCGGTACGCGCCCTAAATGATCCTTCTTCTAACATACGACAGTATCGATAGGTGAAGATCAGATTAAATAGAAATGTGAATCCAAATGAACCGAAAAACAGGAAAGTGGTCACTAATCGCCATAACTGGTCAACAAAACAAATCAAATCAACAAATCAATCGACATTAAAAAAAATACATATCATTATTATCATCGACATCATCATCGGTGACCACTACTGCTAACCTGATAGTTGCGGAAAATGAGTACCGGATTAAAGTACAGTTGAAACGGCGATATGATGTCAAGTTGCTGAAGAAGAAGGAAGGAATATAGAAGAATGGATTAATTATAATTATCTTAAGATTATAATAACAACAGCAAAGAACTGGATGGTATGGATGGATGAATACATACGACAGCAACGGTGGTCAATACACAGGCGGTAGTGTAGGCCCGAGTGACGGCCGGCATTGCCAGATAGTCTTGCAGTAGTGTCTGATATGCAGCCATTGATTATTTTTGAAGTTTTGAGGTTTTTTTTTAGGTGTTTAACCAAATAAAACAAATGAAATAAAAACAAAAAACAAACGAAACAAATGTTTGTCGTTTTTTTGAATGTCTTCAACAACAACAACACCAACAACGACGACAATAACAATCACTTGAATGTCTTCACATCGGAAAAAACGTAAACATAAGATGTGTTCAACAATTGAATGACACAATCGCTCACTCAATGAATGACTCGTTGGCTTCCCATTGGTTTATAACAACAGTACTGTATATATAACATACACACTGTGTGTGTGTATAAACAGTGTATAACATAAGTTATATACCAAATACTGTATTAATAATATTTAACATTTATATACACGGCTTATGAGCTATCGAAAACTCGGGCCCTTTTTATGTATATTACATATGTTTTTTGTGTAACTATATCTCTATTAAATAATTATATAATTACATAAATGATGTCGCATTTTTTAAACAACACATGACAATATGGTATCTTTTATAATTACCAAATGTAGCACAAAAAACATAAGTAACATAAATAAAAAAGTACCGAGTTTGTTCTGAAAATGTTTAGTGTACAATATTTTTTTTTTAAATAGCATTGCATTACTCATAGAGAGATTTAATAATTATTGTGTGACTAAACATTAAATAATTTTTATTATTAGTTAGTTTTGTTTATTGAAAAAATTATATATAAATTCAATTTTGTAAATCACTATTAATAATATACTGTACACTGACCATAAAAATTATTGATGATATAGAAAATTCATAATCAATTATATCATTAATTTTTTGTTTGACAAATAACAAATTTGATAAAACATTTATTATTTTTTTTTGTTGTTGGTTTTATTAGTATATCATATCTATCTCTATATTTAAAAACTTATTTGTGATTTTATGTATTTAATTTGAAACCGTTTTTATATTTAGAAAAAAACTTTAAAAATTTTATTAATTTAAAAATTTGTTTTGTATTTAATAATTATAAATTATTGTCAAACAAGTCTATAATATTTATATTGTAATCATTTATAAATTAGATTTTTATTTGATATAATTTAGTAAAATTATTATTTTTAAATATTTAAATTTTATCATAAAAATTTATATATATAATTTTTTTARAGTAAAATTATTATTATGCTACTCTAATATTTTAATCATTTGGTAATAGTTAACATTTTATTTTATTTATTTTATTATTTTTTTAAATTTGTATAGATTTTGATAATAGTTCATACAGTATATTGATATTATAATTTTATTGATACTTAAAATAATTTTTTCAATGATTAATGAATATAGAAGTTATAGAAGTGTGTCATTGCTAGAAAAAAAGTTTTTATAACTAATATTTTATTTTGTTATTAAAATTAAATATTTTTCTATAACTATTATTATTATTAATCATCATTATTATAATTATTTATAATACAATATGATTTTTTTTATTATATACGATAAAAAAACTATACATATATATATTTAATAGCAGCTATTAATTTTAATCTGCATATTGTACACACAAAATAATTGTTAAATAACTTTTTTTTTGTAATATTTATTTTGTTGGTTACATTGCAAACAAAAATCATAAAATGCAAAATAATTGGTACAATAATTAGCTAAATAATTAGACACATAATATATCATACATGTATTATACTTTTATATATTTTTTAAAAAAATAATTTTATAATACTATATACAGTATATAAAAAATAAATAAATAGTCAATAAAACGTGTGCTGCAATTAAATACTATTTAAATATTGTATAGTTTATTAACTAATATAACAACATTATTATTATTTTTAAAAAAAAGTGTGCAAATATTATTGGGAGTGTATATGATATTTAAAGTTAAAAAAAAACTAACACCAATAACAACAAAAATATTATATGATATTTTTAAAAAAAATTAATATTAATAGTTATTTATAGTTAATAAGCAACAATAAAAAAATGTTATATACTATTAATGCATTAGAAGTGCATTGAATCACAGTATTATTATTATTAAATAATAATAATCAACATTTCAAATGATAAGACACTATACTGTACTGTAGTATAGTATCCACTGATTGACAGTCAATATCGAAATTACATTTATATATATATATATATAGTTATATTCAATACAAGCATTTTGATGACAGCAAGCGCTGGGAATTTTAAAAGCACCGAAAGGGTGTATATTATTCAATAATATATATATAATATTAATAGTTATTGACATTACTATATATACAGTAATAGGACATGCATTGAATGCCTAACTAACTAACTAATCATATACTGTATAATACATATATATATGAAAAAACCACTGCAAAAACATTGTACACTATTTTGTTATTTATTTATAATACAAGTGTTGTGTGTATATATAAATTATATATATATATACTGTACGGTACGGTATTCAATACAYAAGCGCTTATGTATGTGTAATGCATTTTGGGTATTGTTGTTAATAATATAGTGACAGTGTTTGTGTGCATCCCTTGTGTGTGTGTATATGTGTTGTGTGTCTGCACTTACAGTACAGTCAGTCAGTCCTCTCTCTCTCTCTCTCTCTCTGTATCTCTCTCTCAGCCATCTTGTTATCCATCGTTTGCCACATTTGATGGTTTGTTTGTTTTAATTGGTGATCATCACCAACACAGACATACAGACCAAACGAGACGATTGGACAACACATAGGATACGYACAGACACACGACGGATGGCCGTAACCATACGGTCGGTGTCGTCGCCAATTGTCACTATTGCCGTCGTCGTCGTCGTCGTCGCCGCTTTCGCCGCCGCCGGACACCAATGATGGTAAGCTTACACASACACATATCATATATGATAGACAACAATATTGGTTTWCATCATATGGATCACCAATAATCGGATCCATGACTATATTGTTGTGTCCCCTCCACCGACACTCTCATCTGTTTGACACCAATTGCTCGTTTTGGTTACACTTCCTCAATGGTTCACATGATTTATCTATGCTATCGATGATGTCATCTGTGTGTSTCTYTCTCTCTCTCTCTCTCTCTCTCTTTATCACTGATGTGTTGATGTCTTGAGCAGCCAGTAATCAAAATCAATTGGTTTCACGGGTGTCCCCATACGGGTTGATGTTGTTGTTGTTGTTGTTGGTGATGATGACAATGACAGTCAATGTAAACATACAGTGTTTTTCAYTCATCGACTCTCTCTCTCTCTAACTCTTGTCTTATCTTTTTTTTGACAAGACTTTTGATTATAAACACACAATTCAATCAATCAGTGATTTATATTTATTTAGACAACAAATCACTTTTGTGTTTATTATTATTAATTGATTTGATATATCATTGATTAAGTTCACAGACATTCCTCARCATATCCATAGATATCATAGAAATATGTATTTTTTTGAAACATTTATTTTTTGATACTTTGTTTTATTTCTATTTTTTTAAAATAAGTTTTTGAAATATTTGATGAAAATATATATATATATCATATATATTTCTAATATAATTATTTTATTTAWTTATTTATTACAATTAAATAGGAAATGCAAATACAACTATCCTAATGATGTATTTTAATAATAATAATAATAATAGCGATAATATGRTCTTAAGTCTTGACCGATCAAATTAGTGGATCGGATAGTTGTTTCCGATTTCAAGACAATAATAATAATAATAATAAACATTTTATTACCGAAAAAAAAAACAAGAAAAAAACCAATTGAGAGGATGCCTTCGTATCCAAGGTTTGCATWAMTTTTTTTTTAACTCCCAATACTATCGGTATATTTATTTTGAMATTTCATTTCAAGGGTCGGCAATCTTAAAGATCCGGAAGTGTCACTATTGTTTGACAAAGAAGATCCCGAAAAGATTTTCACAGATCTACGGGAGATAGGACACGGAAGTTTTGGTGCTGTTTATTATGTAAGTRTWWTTATTATTGTTCGGTAAAATTATMCCACATTTTCTGACCATTTTCTGATCGCGATTTTSTAGGCCCGATATGTTCACACCAATGAAGTGGTTGCCATYAAAAAGATGTCATTCACTGGCAAACAGTCAGTCGAGGTTTGGATAAAATGTTTTTTTCTCTAAATGTTTTTATTATAATAACATTTATWATWATAATAATAATAATAATTTTTTAATGTTTGAATTTTTTTTTATRAACCAGAAATGGCAGGATATCCTAAAAGAAGTAAAGTTTCTCAGAAACTTAAGACATCGAAACACTATTGAATATAAGGGTTGTTATCTGAAAGARCATACGGCATGGCTTGTGATGGAGTATTGTTTAGGTTCGGCGTCCGATATAATTGAAGGTAATATYAATAGTTTTTTTTAAAAAAAAWAWTTTAATATTACCCTAATTTTTAAAAATTTAATTTATAATTTAGTTCATAAAAAGCCATTACGAGAGGACGAGATATCTGCCATTTGTAACGATGCACTCAATGGTCTGGAATATCTTCATTCTCAGTCCCGAATACATCGTGATGTCAAAGCGGGTAACATATTGCTCACTGAAAACGGTACTGTCAAACTGGCCGATTTYGGATCGGCTTCACTGGGCTGTCCGGCCAATTCGTTTGTGGGCACACCGTACTGGATGGCGCCCGAAGTGATATTGGCAATGGACGARGGCCAGTACGATGGCAAAGTGGATGTCTGGTCGCTCGGTATAACCTGTATAGAGTTGGCCGAAAGGAAACCGCCGTATTTTAATATGAACGCCATGAGTGCCTTGTATCACATCGCCCAAAACGATTCGCCACAACTGAACCCGTCGGGCGACTGGTCCGACCTGTTTCGTAGTTTTGTTGAAACCTGTCTTCGTAAGAATCCAGTMGATCGGCCCAACTCGACAAACATTTTAAGGGTATAAAAGAGATTTTTTTTTGTCCGAAATTTTGATTTAGTTTTCTTTATGTGAATTATTGACAATTTGTTTGTTTGTTTAATTACAAAACAATAGCATAGTTTTATAACGCGGACGCGATCCCAGACCGTTATATTAGACTTAATTAGTAGAACAAAGGCTGCGGTCAGAGAGTTAGACAATTTGAACTACAGAAAGATGAAGAAGATATTGATGGTCGACACACGTGAAAATGATTTGCATAATCACGATCTCGACAACGATATACCCGTATGTCTTTTTAAATTGATGTCTTAATAATAAACAATTTTGTATGTATKAATTGTTGTTGTTTTTTTTTTTTGGTGGACAGGAGGATGAATTAATGGCCAATAATAGTAAAAGCAATTCAGTTGCCAGTTCTCATAGTCGCCAAAGTGGAGGCATCAGCGCCGGCAGTCAAAGTAGTAGTACAAGTAGTCTACCAGCGAATTCCGATGCAAACGATTCTACTTATAAATGTCCGGTTTCTTTGAGGAGAGAAAGTGCCAGTAGTATGAATCGGGTTAGTCCTTCGGTAAGTACCACAACAACAACAACTGATAATTTTAAACTTTATTGCCTAATAATCTGACGGCTGATTATGTTCTTCATTATGTTATCTTAAGAATTCATCTGCAAGTTTGAATAGCACCGAATTAGGTACCAATAATTTTGCCACATTAAGGACGACATCGATAGTTACCCGACAGCTCAAAGAACATGCAAAAGAAAATCAAATGCACGAACAGATGTCTGGTTATAAACGAATGCGAAGACAGCACCAGAAGGCTATACTTCAGTTAGAAGGCAAATGTAGACAAGAGATTGAAGAACATAAACAAAAATTAGATAAAGAATATGAAACACTATTACAACAGTTTAGTAAAGAATTAGAAAAATTACAATTAAGACATCAACAAGAATTAGAAAGAAAGGTTAGTATTGGGTTTGATTGATATGTCTTTAAGACTTGTCATTTAAATAATGGTTTTTTGTTTGTTTTATAGCTCAAGACAAACGTTGCTTACGAACGAAAGCTTAGTAAAGCTATTCTTCAGCAGCACGAAGAAGAACTGAAAAGGTTTCAATTGCAACAAAAACACGAATACAAGTTCGTTAAGGAAAGACTAAAGAGAGAGTTGAACAACGATTCCATTTCATTCAAGAATCAAAAAGAAAGTCTTCAACGAAGTCAGAGTTCGGCACTCGAACGGCTACAGCACGAGCACCAGGAGTATCATCGACAGGAAGTTCGTAAATTTAGGCGACGAAAACTTATACAATATCATCAACTGGAACGGGATCTGCTCCGGGATGAGCTCAATAAACGCCAGAGTCAACTGGAACAAGCACACTCGATGCTGATGCGCCATCACGAAATCACCCAGGAGCTCGAGTATCGGCAACAACGGGCTGTCCATCAGCTTCGGGACGAACAGATTCGTAAACAACATCAGACAGAGTTAGCCAATCAACAGGAGTACAATCAGAAGCGTGAGAATGAGTTAAGGAAAAAGCATGCGCTGGAAGTGAAACAACAACCGAAAAGTCTTAAGCAAAAAGAATTACAGATTAGAAAACAATTTCGCGAGACTTGTAAAACACAGACACTTCAGGTATTTAATTGAATGATTATATGAACTAATTTTAATGAAAGTGTTGGTAATTTTTTTTTTTTTTTTTTTTTTAATACACTACTTGTAGTATAAGGCGTGGAAAACGCAAATATTGAGCTCAACACCAAAAGATGAACAAAAGAATGTCATAAAGAAGTTAAAAGAAGAACAGGTGAGAAAACTGGCACTTCTTGGAGAGCAATACGAACAAAGCATTGCTGAAATGCTTCAAAAGCAATCGGTATGTCTTTTAAATTTGTTTTTTATAAAATGTTTTTAATTTTTTTATTGTTGATATTTAACAGATACGTCTGGATGAGGCACAAGAACTCGAAGAACGCCAACTAAAAGAACAGTTACAACAAGAATTGGAACTATTGATTGCTTTTCAAAGCAAAATTCGTATGCAATCAGAGGCTCAACGAACTAAAGAGAGACGTGAACTCGAGGAAAGAGTTTCTGTTCGACACTCATTGCTTGAGAAGAAGGTATAYCACAGACAGACTGAGAATTAAATTGTTTTCAGATTTGTCGGAACTATTTATTAATATTTCTCTTTTTTTTTTTTGTTTGTTTGTTTCACTTCCAACAATCAGATGGAACTCGAGAAACAACAGTTTCAGGACGAAAGAAATGAAAGACAGCGTATGCTTCTTGAAAGGCAAGCGCACGAAACGGAAAGTTTTGATTTGGACAGCACTCGCCAAGGATTCAATGCGTTGGCCATCGCCGAGGCATCGATCGAGTGTCTCGGCGACGACGAGGCCTCAGTCAGCGGCTCGATGTTGTCATTGGCTCACAGCAATAGTGCCACGTCTTTCACGCACACAGCCCTCTAGCACGCGCGTGGGTGCGCCCGCGCCGACCTCATTGATGGCCAACATTTTTTTCTCTCTCTTTATCTGCATATATCCTTTGTATAATAGTGTACATAAAGAAAACAAACAAACAAAACATAATAATTGTTAGACAGAGTGTGTCTGTATGTATGAGATATATATATATCTCTAATATGGAAAGGATTTAAAAGAAAAAAGGAATCGAAAGAAAGTAAAGACAAACAAAAGAAAGACATTTTCATCAGTCATTGGATTAGTTCGGCTATTGTTTTGTGTTTGCTCTTAAAAAAAACTGAAAATTGTTATTGAAATGCACTTTTGGTTTTTTTTAAAGATTTATATTTAAAGATAAATATTAATATTTCAAACGATTGAAAAAGAAGAAATGGTTAACTTATTTATATATATAWATATAGACAATGAGATCAACTCACTCACCAAAAAAAAAATGAGATGAAGAAGAAGTGTTTCCATAAGTTGGTCTTCCATAAGATGACTGTAATAATAATAATAATGAAAATGTTTAGTGCAATGATTAGTGATTTTTTTTATTTAATAATAATAATTAATTTATAATTAAAAATATTTCTTTTTTATATATATAAAAAAATAACAAATTGTTCCAAAATCTTGTCGTATTTGAGTAGACATTCACTACTACTACAWCTACAGGAGGGGTACTCCATGTGTGTGTGTGAGATGACAGGACAGTCATATTTTTTTCGGGATCTGTCATACTCTCACTTCAACTCTATTCAAACACTACTTACAGTACACATACGTATAAATAATAATAATAACTTAATAATTAACGAATAATAATAATAATAATTTTTTTCTATTGAATTGTCATATCAATAGAGGAGAAGCCATTTGATGGGAAAAAATGAGTGAAAAACACACACTTTTTTTAAAAATAAATAATCACTTATTGTGTAATAACTAATGTAAAATATATTATTATATAATATATATATATATATTTAAGAGAAAATGCATTCAAATCCCAACACTTTTTTATTTATATATAAAAAAATAATTTTGTTTTTACCTCAAAAAAAATTGCGATCACTTGTCATTTCAGTCGGTGTTTCAAATGTTGTTTTTTTAATCCAAAAACACTAATAACTTGTATTACTATTATTATTAATTAATTAATTAATTAACTAACGGTTTGTGACACCCATTGAAGTCGTGTTTTTAAGTTTTAAGAAAAAAATAATATTTAATTATTATTATTAGTTTGTTTGCAACTAAAAAATAAGTAAAGGAATTGTTTTTTTTCTTCAAACAATTTTATGATTAGAAAATTTCTTAATATAAATGGAAAACTTTTTTTTAAAAATAAAAAATAATTAAAATATACATTTTTGTCATATAGTATATTACATTTATTTTTTATAGTTTGTTAATTGATATTATAATTTACAGTAAAATAATTTCAATTAACAAGAATCCTATTTAGAGCTCTGGTCGTCCATGACTTTAGCCGATAGCGACATATTAGGTCCGGTCTTCCATTGGGACTCATTCTCATCGATAATGGAGGTCTCGATGTTGACAGAGTAGAGACCAGCGATCGGCAACAACAACAGAAACTGAACCTGAAAGTAGTCGTTAAGAGGATAGACCACTGATTGTTGGGCTACGTTAGTATCGGTGCTCTTCATCAGCAGTTGTTGTTCACTGTTGTTGTTGGCATTGGCGGCCCGAGTAATGAGTACTGCATTAACCGAAATCAATACTTTGCCGACTTTACGGATTTGTTTCTGGGTTTTCGTATTGATGACAACGCCTTCGATACGGAGCGCAAAATGACTGTTCGTATGCAATGTCAGATAATCGCCAGATTTCGGTTGCGGAGAGACCGCCAGTTTAATACACGTATTCTGTACGGACTGAAAGTAAAAGCGGGGAAAAGATAGCGGCGCCCGAACCATCTGTACACTGATTTGTTGCAACAGTTGTATCTGTTTGCTGCCAATCGTTTCATTGGGTGTTTGCAGCGATGATACCACAAAGTTCTTGTGGATCAATGTCGAGACAGTACTGCAGACTTCGATCATTGATTTATGTTCTAATGGTAGACAATGAGTGGATGATAATTCTGTTTTTGTTTCAAATGGATTATCTTTGGACACAACCATTGCATTGAGTCGATTACTTTGGAACAGATTCTCGATGGCTTCGGCCAGTATTACGCAACTGTTTTGTATTAACTGCAACTGTGACAGTGTGTTGTCGTCGGCGTTGAACGACGACTGATACAGTAGACTATAGGATTCGGCCATTGATCGAAACTCTTTGGCACTCTTGCGCATTGCAACCACTATATTACCGCACTTTAGCAGATCGTCGCGAGTGGTCAACGCTGTCGAGGCGGCAATTGCCGGCGGCGGCGATGTCTGTATCAGTCGACAGCATTGTTGAAARTATTGATGGGTTTGTAGATATTTTAGCCGTAGTTTAACGAATTCGCATTCAAATCTCATCGGATTGTTCACCGAAATCGATGCCTTTAAATGGGTTAGTCCTTCGATATAAAGTGCTATCGATGTTCGCAAACTTTTATTCAGATCACTGGCCGAATCTTTAATCAAAAAGCTTTCGGCTTTCGATATATTAACCAAACTTTTGATCCAGAAATGAATACTTTCAATCGGTTCCATATAAGTGACCAGTTTGTCTAAAATCATTGACGCCATCAGATGTTGGCCGTAACGCATAGCTTGTCTGACAATTTTGAAACAACTCCACAAATCACGGCCTTTCATCAGTCCTAACAACTCGTTGGCCATCAATTCATCAATGTTTGTCCCTTTCTGTAGATTCAATTGAAAATAAATTGATAGCAGATTTGAAAAATTTGAATTTTCATTTGGCGATCGTTTGCTGTCTTCAATTGATTGTTTTGCACTCAGTTTGATTAGCTCGAGTATATCATCGCCGGTAGCAAATGTCTCGTTGGTTGAAACTGTGGAATTGATTGCACAGATTACCTCAGATGCCATTGCAAACCATAGAGAATCAATTTTGACAGTCATTATGACAAATCTTAACGATTCCGTTATCTGTGTAATCGATGATAATTTTTGCGAACGACACAGACTATGAATACATTGGAAAACACTCTTCAGTGACAATCTATCGATTTCGCTGTAGTTGTCATCGGTGGTCATATGTGATAATAGAAACGATTGTATACAACAACATGTTTCTTGCATAACATCGATATTGACCAAGAAATTGGTGTTCAAATTCAGCGAAATGTTTGTCAAAATTGAAATACAAGTCGAGATCAGTTCAATACTTTGTTCGCAATAAACACTTGTAATACAAATATTAATAATTTTGACACTCATTTCACTGTAATATTGCGGTTCATCGGAGAATAGTGTCGGCGATGCAGTCAATTGTGACAAAACAGACAGCGATCGACACAACAATTTTGTATCTCTTTTACTAGTTTTCCTATTCTTCAGATTGACAATAGCGTCGACCAATGCCGAAGTACTTTCTTTTTGCCACAAATGTGGACGACTTGTGGCCAATGATTTCAAATCAGATAAAACCGATAGTTTGACATTATTTCGAGGATCGTTAATAAAGTAGTCGAGCAATACTTGAATCTGATCTGGTATTTGGGTTAAGGAAACCGATGCAATGTGTGTCAGCACATGAAGATCACTGCAGACAAACTCCTCAGACGGATACGTCTCAAGCATTTGCAAACAATTTTGTCGGACTTTGTCGGCGACTTCGCAATCAAAATGAATATTATATAAAACTAACAAAAGCTTTGCTTTGGTTTCCAACGGAGTCGTCAATCCGTTGATCATCGAAAAGATTTTCGGATAAATATTGGCCGCAAATTCCGTAGACTTGTCGGCAAAAGCAGCAGCGGCTTCAATGGCGGCCAACACTTCCAACTGGTCATTCGAGTCCAAACTATTACGGATATAATGATGAATTGATTTACGATTGCAGACAATACGGGCCATAGTGGCCAATGTCTTCAGAGTTATGGTTCGGGCCAACGGATCATTCGAGTAGGTGACCGAAAACAATCGGCGAACAAATTCATCGATGTTAACAATTTTGTCCAAATGTTTTTCACTTTCGCGCATTACGTGCAATATGAGGACACGTAAAAAATTGGATCCGGTTCGGTAGACATCCGATAGTTTCAATGAGGCCGAGTTGATCAATATCGGGAACGGGTAGCGCTCCATCAGAAACGGAAATCGGACAATTGACTCGCACTGGTCGCCCAATACTGCCGACCGTAAACCTTTGTCCAGTTCGGTAAGCATTTGGTTGGCATCCAGATTGGCTTCCGGGTCGCCCGTCGGCACATTCATGGTCTGTATGTTTGTCTGTCTACTGTATAATTGATTGCAAATTCAAAACAATAATTGTTTGCAAACTTTTTAATACATTATTATTATATTATTATTATTACTTAATAATTATATATTAAGCCATAAATGATGTCCTCTTTAATGGCAAACCCATTGATCGTTGACATTGCTATCAATACTGATAGTCAAACCCCCCGTCGATAGCGTAATCTATGAATGCATTGATTTTTTGTGTGTTTGTGTGTATAATAAATACCGGCACTAATGTAATCACAAACTACAGTACTGTATATTGGAGAGGGGTTGGGATGATTTAACGGGAGGGGAGGGGGATAATATATTTTTATTAATAATACTATGTATAACAAAAAAAACACATAAATAAATTTTTTATTTAAATATTTAAAACTTTTAAATGTATAAATGTATATATAATCTATAAAAATAAGTTTATACTGTATATTGTGTCGGCCAGTTAGCCGACAATTGCGTAATAAAAACGAAACGATTAATAAATTTAATGTTTATTTAATATTACGTAAAAACGATTGATTTATAATAACTGAAAAATACGATACAATAACGATATCTTATATACAATATATTAGTGTCGATTAGTGTGCGTTACTGTCGACATCTGTTCGACAATTCCCCGACCGCGAAGGCCAGCGTCTATACGGTGCGGACGAATGGGGCGAACGTTTGCCAATTTGTACGGCCAAATGGACGGCCTATGAACGCATGAAAAGTATCCATCCGATGATGGAATGACGGGTGGTGTTGAGAACCGGTTCATAATACGATGGCTACGGTGTTGTCTTGATTGCAGGCGATTAGTGACCAAACGATTTAACGGCGTGAACGACATGTCGTTACGTCGTTTATCGGTAGTCACAAACGATTTGAATGACGAGTTTATATCCGATAAATACTGCGAATTTGATAGCAAATCGTGATTTATCGATAACTTTCGGTGATCTTGTAGTGTCTTCGGCGTTGTCTCGACGTGTATTGTATTTTCTACGTCTTTATCGGTGGTGTCGGCGATTTCTTGTCCAAATGTGACGGTTTCTGTCGCCATAACAATGTTAGGGACAGTCGTTGTCTCAATAGGACGACATGTTTCGGTAGTAGATTCGGGTTTAGGTGTCGACCAAATCGGTTGTTTGCATTCGTTTGCATCGTTAATCGTATTGATATGCGAATCAATATGTGTATCGATATGAGAATCGATATGTGGTACTACTTGAATGCAAATCGTGTAGTCTTCGGGTGATGAGCTCTCAGATGAGCTTTCGGTATAACTTTCGTCTTGATTACGACCAGTGTTATGTCGCGAATGTTTGCGCTTTATTTTTGCGGACTCAATATTGATGGCGACCTCATACCAGTCCTGAGGTGTCTTCAAACGAGACGCGCCTAATATATGACGATAATTATCGGGCATACCGTCGGTAAGCAGAGCGACAGCGTTGATGTCGTCGAGACCGGCCTGTTGTGTCAGTCGTCTCATATCGTTGTAGTAGTCGGTGACGGACTCATTTCGGTTGAGTTGTCGATGAATTGCTTCGACTAACGGGTTCGTTGATTTTCGACCGAATCGGGAGATCATGAGATCTCGGCACCGATTCCAGGTCATGGAGTGCCAGTTCGGCTCGATTTCCTCGGCCATCCATGAGAGCGCTTCTCCGGACAGGTGGCGGGCGAGTACTTTAAGTTTTTCTTTGTCATCGTTGGCATCGATGGTGAGCAACGAAAACATACGTAACCATTCTTCGATGGTGATGTTCGGGTCGGGACCGCTATATTTATCGCATACCAGACCAATGATTGGTTGATATACAGTCGGTATAGCGGGTGTGTCATCGATATTGTTTCGTACCAATGCCGAGTGAGATGTGTGTCGAGTGTTAGCGCTTAAGCTCTGTTTGATCGGTGGTTGCGGTGATCGTATCGGACGGTTCGATGTGGACGGCCGAGAGACCAGTGAGATGGTCTCGATATCGGTGTCGCTGACTCCAGATACCGGATACTTACCGCTTTTCGAGTGATCGTTAGCTCCTATGCGACGACTAACACGTGGTTTCGGTGTGCCTACCGCTCGGGTACGGCTGCGTGTACTGTATGTGTACGGCATGACGGTTGATACGATGTTATCGATGACTGTCGTGACGTTGAGTTATTTTACCGACTGCGCCAGAATGTCGGCCAGTTAGCCGACAATTGCGTAATAAAAACGAAACGATTAATAAATTTAATGTTTATTTAATATTACGTAAAAACGATTGATTTATAATAACTGAAAAATACGATACAATAACGATATCTTATATACAATATATTAGTGTCGATTAGTGTGCGTTACTGTCGACATCTGTTCGACAATTGATTTTGATTTGCAATTATTATTAATACAGTAATAATAATAACTATTGAATTGTATTGAAAAAGCCATACATAGATGTCATGCATTGGCAACAATTGATTTCAATATATATATACAGTGTTTGTGTTTTCCATTATATAAACTACAACTACTGTACTCTATATCGATGTCCGACTCATTGAAACTCTAAATATATTATATATATATATATTGTGTGTCTGATTGACTGACTGTCACTCCGGCACTCATTGAACTGATTCGCGCGCGCCGTCCGGTTGTCTGTCCGACGACTACTACTACTTTGATTATCTGTTTTTTTCTACCGACTGACTGGTCAGACCGATCACCGAACACAGTCCCGGACACATAACACATACCTTTTCCCTCCCATCCAACCGATTCAAGTGAGTGACTAGATTTGGTACACACCGGAGGGCAACACGTGCTCACCAATTGTCGATACAAATGGCGGACAGATATTCATATAACGACAATCAGGCCAACAGGTATTTATTTTTCGTGTCGGCCACGAACTGATCCACACGACATGCCAACAGTTTAGCACCACTGGCCAGCGCTTAGGCTGGCCAGTGGTGTTGGCCAACAACAATAACAAGCGGTGAACTTTACCAATTGAATGCACGCGCGCACAAAGCCGCATGTGCGGCGACGGCAATAATTATCACTTGGTTTTTTTAGCGGGTAATAGTTGCGGTCAGTGCGCGTGCAGTCATTAAAAAAATTTCATTGTTTGTTTAGACTGATATTTAAAAAATCATATGAAACTGATCCCAATTGTTTTGTTTTTGTTGATTTTCAAACAGGAATCGTGGATACGGCTCTTCAGGCGGCGGTAACCGAAGTTATGGCAACAATGACTCGTACGGACATATGGGTGGCGGYGGTGGTGGACCCCGCGAACCACGTGAACCGCCCTATACGGCGTTCATCGGCAATCTGCCCAACAAAGTAATTCAGGGAGACATCGATGAAATGTTCAAGAATCTCAAAGTATGAACTAAATTGACCACAAATTTGTTTTGTTTTAATAATATGTTTGTTAATCTCCCCTATTGTCTGAATCATTTACTTCAGATAAGAAACGTTCGCTTAATTCGTGATAAAGACACGGATCAGTTCAAAGGTGTGTTTTTTGTTGTTTTTATTTTTTTTTAAATATTATTAAAATCTATTTCTTGTTTTTTCTTCTTTAAGGCTATTGTTATGTCGAGTTCGAAGATGAAGACTCGCTGAGAACAGCTCTCGAGTTTGACGGAGCGGTAAGTTTTGTTTTTAGTGACTTTTAATTTGATTTTATTAGTAATTATTTTCAATTATTTTTTTTACTGATATATCAAATAGGATTTCAGTGGCAATATTTTGAGAGTAAATATTGCCGAAAACAGACGAAAGGATAACAGAGGTTTCCAAGGAGGTAGTCGTGGAGGTAGAGGAGGTGTGACATTATTGAGATAATAATGTGATAATTGTTTGTTTCTAAATAATTATTTACAATTTTTTTTGTTATTTATTTAGGTTTTAGTGATCGGGGAGGTATTCAACGAGGAGATAATAGAGGTGGCCAGAGCCGTACTTTCAACAATAATCGTGGGTTTTCCAATGACCGACCGCCCAACCGGTACAGTGGCGGTGATCGGAGGGGCGGTAACGGCGGCGGTTCGTTTAACGATAGAAATAACGAACGATACGGCGATCGCAACGATCGCTACGATAATAGAGGCAGCGATCGTGGCGGTAGTTTCGATAGAGGCGGCGACAGAGGCGGATACGGTCGCGATAATAGACAACGAGGCAGAGACTTTGGCAACTTTGGTAGAGGAGGAGGAGCCGGTGGTGGCGGCGGCGGCGGACGTGATCGGGACAGAGAAAGGCGGCCAAATGCCAACAATTTTGAAGTGTTCAAAGAACCTGATCCCGAAGAATTAGCTAATCGACCGCGACTTAAACTACTGCCGCGCAGTATTGATCGGCCGATCAACGATTTGGCCGAAACCAAAGCTCGTGATTCGATCTTTGGCGGCGCCAAACCCAGGGATGAAAAAGAATTCGAAGAAAGACGTCGAAAGGAATCGGAGAGCAAGGATTCGGTCACTGATGGAGTGAGTCCTTTGATTTGATTGTCTTTTTTTTGTTAATTATTATAATAATTATTTAATTTTTGTTTTGTTTTTTTAGGAACAATAAACAGTATATTAAAACAAAACTTCGATTGTATTTAACAAACAAAATAATATCGGTTTTTGTTTGTTTTTTCGACGACCTGTCAATTGTCTTCAAAACTACTATTATTGGGTTCAATAATTTATACCGTAATATAAAATATAATAATAAGGTTTACATATCTGTTTGTTCTCCCGATTTGTATCTTTATTTTTTTTGTTTTAATTTAATTATTAATATTATTATTTTTTCGATTATTATTATAAGAAAATCGATACTAAATTTTTTTAACAGTTACTAAAAAAATTGATTATATTTATATACATATTGTATTTAGTATCGTAAGAAAATAGGTTATAATTATTTTGATTTATTTGTATTTTGCATTTTTAACGAATTTTGTCATTTATCTAATTATTATTATATATATTTGTTTATTTGTTTTAATGATATTATTATATTATTATTAGTTTCATATTCATTTGAGTTTTTTGTTTCATTATATATATATTAATATTATTATATATTTTTCACATTTAAAAAAATAATTTGTAAAATAGTTAATGAAAAGTGCTTTTTATTAATGAATTGAAATACAAATACATTTTTACTTTGAAAAAAATGACAAAAAAATAATTAAGATTAATATAAACAATATAATTTATTACAAAAAAAAATTGAAGCAATGATTGATTATATAAGTTTATATATTATATATAAATTAAACAAAAGAAAACTTTATATTAAAAATATAAATAATTAGCTGATTTTTTTGTAGAGCTTTTATCATTATTATTCATTATAAGCTATTTTTATTAATTATAATAATAGTTAATAATAATTATTATTATTATTGTTCAGGCAATTGATTTAAGTCAAACACAAATTGCCCCCAACTATTGATTAGCGCCAATTCAATTCCAATGCAAAGCAAATTCATTACTATACCTGGTTTTATCTGTATATATAAATTATATATATATATATATATATATAATAAATTTAAAAATGACAAACATATGTATATTATATATATTTAAATTTATATAATTATGTATATGTATACCACATAAACACTCACATCAAGCAAACAAACAAAACAAAAAAATAATGCATATTTTAATTCCAGAAAATCATTGAACAAATAATTAAAAATTTTTGTCTCTCTCTCTCTCTCTCTAATTATTAATCGAAATCAACTCTCATTGATATAATATTATTAACAAAAAAATCATTAATTTATATTATGAATAAATAAAAATATAAATTATTATTTATGTATTTACTTAAATTTGGAAAGAATTAAAACAAAAAATATCTTTTTTTGACAAATCTATTGATAAATTATTTTAAATAATAATAAAATTTAATAAAAATTTTACTAATCATTACATACCATATCAAATGTGCTGGCTTTTGGGCCCATACTTTCAAATACTATAGCATTGGGTGGCTATTGATTTAAAATAATTTGATTATATAAAAAAAAATTGTTTTATATCAATAAAATTTGATAACAAAATAAAATAATCACTTACTGTAGCCACTGGAAACATGAATGCAAACGATACTAATTTGTTGGTTTTAATTTAAATTTATAGATAGAAAAAAACGATAATTAAATAACTAATAAAATTTTTAACAATATTTTTTGATAATTACTTCCTATTGTGACCGGCATCATGAGTAACAATGGATGGACAGCTAATTTGATTGCCTATATATATATATATATATATATATATATATATATATATATATATATATATATATATATATGAGTAAATATATAATATAAGATTCAGTGAATTAGTAAAGTAATAAAATAATTTTTTTATTATTAATATCTTTTTTATAGTAAACAAAATTATAGATTACCAATGTATTGACAACCGGTAATAGTACGGTAGCACAGGAGACATTGCTGGCCACTTCGGTAACCATTGCGCCGATTACGGTCAAAAAAATCATGGCCACCCGAGGCGATACGTGATCAAAATGTGACAACTGTTGGCCGAGCCATTCGGATAGACCTGATTTCTGTGTGGATAATAATAATAATAATCTAATGGTAAGACATRGAAGAATAAAAATTTTTGTGTGAAAATTCTTTATACTTCGATTCCCTCGGCCATAGCGAACCCGCCGCCCAACAGAATGATGACACCCCACGGCATCTTCTGCTGGACTGTTCGCCAGTCGAGCAACGACTGGATCTTCTTGTGTTGTCGACTATCTTCAGTATAAAATTGTTTCAGATTTGCCGGCACTATAAACATGGATACGGCTATCAGTATAGCCGGTGTCGCGTCCTTTATCTAATTAATTATTTTTTTCCCAATAATAACAATAAYAATATAATATAATTAGATTTGTATAAACTATTTTTTCTTTAAAATTAAATTAATTTTGTGTCCTAACCGTGCCGTTACTACTGATCAGATCAGACCAACCCGTAAATACTTCGGGTTGTCTGAAGAACCATAACATCACCAGAATTACGAAATGTATGATAACTGCTGTCTCTTGAAATCTGAATTGAAATTTTAATTATTTAATTTATAATTATTATTATTAAAAYCATAATTTGTTTTGGTTTTTATAACTAAATATTATTAATTAATAAATATCTAACAGCAAAATATCATTTTTTTAAAATAGTTATTAAACATTAATTATTATTTAGTTGATTGCCTTATTTAGCTTTTTTAGGACATTATAGAAAAAATTTATTACATAAATATTACAAAATAAATACTTAATAATTTTCAATTAATACAATTTTTAGGAAATAATATTTCATAAAAAAATTCCAATTTTATTAATTAGATTTTTTTTAATGAAATAATACTTTTTTAGACTTTTATTTTAGTAACAGAAATAATAATAATTATTATAAATATATATATATATATTTAAAATCTTTAAATAGTTTTTTTTAATCAAAGATATAATAATTTAGTCTTAATAAAGATATTAGAAATTATATAAAGAAATAATATTAATAATAAAAATAAAAAATAAAAATCAATGGCACCGATAACTCACGTGATTGAACCCAAATCGCTGTACTTGTGCTCAATCAATGATCTGATCTTATCCTTGGACTCATCCAATTGATCCTTACTTTTGGTGTTATTATTATTATTCAAAAAGTGTAAAATAAAACATTAATCAATTTATTTTTTTYCATATAGTTTTTTTTTGTTTGTTTAATAAGTAGAAATAAAAAAAATAAAATGAGTACAACTACTTTCTCCATATGAAGGACAGGTAGAGGAAAATCCATGCGACTAATACACAGATCAACATTCCCGGAGCCGCATATATAAACCAACGCAAAAATGTCAGATCACTGCTCTTTGGGTATCGACTATTATATATACAGTATAAAGGGTTATATTTTTAAAAAAAAAATATTATTATAAGTTTTTTTTTATTAATAAATTCAATTGGAAAAATTATAAGTTAATTACGGCATTAATAATTATTTGAATCTAATTTTTTTCTCTATTAGTTGTTGAATACTTATTGAAACAAAATTAAAGTATTATTTTGTTTTTKTTTTTTTAAAAATATATTTGTGTTCATAAAATTAAACTAAATAAAATTCATTGAAATTTTTTTTWWWAAAAAAAACTCAACCTAGATCATTATAGTATTATTAAATTTGTTGTTTTTGTATAATTTTTATAATAGTCATAATAAAAATTAGAGAGACTATCATTAAACAAAACAGAAAACTTAATTTTTAATTTTTTTTGTTGATAATTATTAACTATTAAAATTAAGCAATTATATTTGAAAATAATAATAATAAAAATTACTCTTCATATATTCCCTGTAGTACCAGATTGGTACCGGTGCCCGTCAACGTACCGGTGCCGCCAATATTAGCTGAATATGAAATCGATAGAAGCAATGCTTTTCTTATGATATCTGATTTATTTATGTTATTATTATTATTATTAGACGACTGTTTTTTCTTAACTATATTTATTGATTGTTGACTATTTGGTGAATCCACTTTTGGTGATTCCTCTAATAATAATTATAAAAAAAATAATTTTTTTTATATATAAAATTATTACCCAATTTAATTGAAGGACAATCACAAACATACACTAATACAACTAAAATTTAATTATATATTTTATATGTATATAAAACATTTGATTTAAGTTAGCCTTCAATTTATGTTTTAATATTTTWWTTTAAAAAAAAGTTTTGATAATATTTTTTCAACAATTATTTACTTTTGGATAAACTTTTTTTTGCGAAATGTTATGTTTATAATTAGTTAATTAGTAGTAAAAACATACAAAATCTACACACATATAGCCACAAAAAAAATCTAAATTGACATTTTTGTTTATAAATTTAATAGTAGTAAAAACATAAAATGTTTATATACTACTGTATGTATATAAATACAGTATATATATATAAATAATTTGTTTATCCAAACTTAAGTAAATTAAAATTAATTAATAACAAATAAAAAGTTTATATACAAACCTAACTCATTAAGCATAGCCTCGACAATTGGTACCATCATTGCTGTAGTCGCTGTATTACCTAATAATTATTATAAAATTAGTAAATTAGATAATAATAATAATAACAACAAGTTATTATTAGATTATTATTAACATAAATTTTTTTTATGTGTTATATTGATGAATATGCAAATTAATTTTTTTAAAAATGTTTTAAAATTTTATTATTATTATAATATAATTAATTGATGTTTTATTTTATATAAAATTTATTAATACTTACTAATCCACATTGATAGAAACATTGTGACCAACATTATTCCCAACATTATTCTTGATATATTTATATATATTTATATATTAATTAAATTATAAAATATAATTAATTAAATCAATTACCTGGTTATACTGGTGCCAATCATAAGTAACACTTTAAGTGCTATCCGTTTATGTAAATTGCAATTTTCAATGGCTATGGCCATCAATAGTCCGCCGATAAACATCATGTTTGTGCCCTAACATTACAATAGTTATATAAGTATATTGTTATAATCAACACAAAAAAAAACTATCAATATATCATACAATAGCACGATGTGATAAATCATTTATATATATAAATCTTAATAATAATAATAAATTGTTTCTTAATTGTAAATTTTTTTAATAGTAATTTGCATAAAGGGACTGACCTTCATATAGGGAGAGCAAACGGCATTTGTACTAAAAAATATATATATAATTGAATGAATTAATTAATTAATGGATTAAATTTTTTTGAAAACATTTAAAATCATTTTTTGGTTTGTTAAATATCATTATTAATTAAATTTTATAATTAAATATAATTTTTGTTTGTTTGGTGTGTTTATTAACCTAATGATATCAAGTAACGGGTAGAGAGCCACTGGAATTAGAGCCGTCATATAGATGCTGATCGGTTCGACCATCCAATAGGATGCCATCAATAAGACTACATAAGCGCATCGAAACCTCTAAATATGTGTTTTATAAAAATAAAATTATTTAAATTTAATTAATTTAAAATTTATTTATAATTGAAAAAGTTAGTTTAAATTATTTATTGTTATTATTTATATCTATCATATAAAAAAAATCTTTACACTTGATTTACACAAAATATTGAGGTTTATGTAAATAAAAGGTTTTACAATTTTTTCTGCAATTTAATTGCTTATTAAGATATTTAGTTATAAAGACTCTGTTAGTTAAGATATTTTTTTATGAATAATAATAAAAGTATTACTGTTTAATGTATCAAATTATATGACAAAGTTTATATTTATATAAAATAATGATAAATTATAAATAATTATAATATAAATATAATAAATGCTATCGAATTCTAACATTAACTAATAACAATATAAGTATAATAATAATTATAATAATAAATAAATAAATAAGCTTACACATTAAATTGTCAATAAAATAGCTAATAAAATTGTTTAGGTTCATTTTTTACGATTGACAAAATAAAAATAAAAACTTGAATTTATAAAATTTATTTTATGACTAAATAATTATCAAAATTTTTATACTACTATAATATTATTTAAAATTTTTTTAATAATTGTTTAATATATTTTTTGTTAAAAAAGCAACTTTACTTAAATTATTAAAAATTGATTAATGATTTTTTTTGGTGCAAAACTTACGGGAGTGTCGTTATCATAGAAAAGTAATGGCAGTAAAACAATGGGAACTATTAGTGCAAACCATAGTTTGAATGATCGCCTCAATACTCGACTCAATAAATTTCGCTGATTTTTCGGTTTAATTAGATTATCACTGACCACACAATCAGCCGATTCAATGCCCACAATAGCGGTACCATTGATGGTGATGTTGTTATTATTATTATTAACAATATTATTATTATTATTATTATTACTGATGATATCCATATGTGCGCGTAATTATATAATAATTTTGCTATATATTTACAAACAAATAATTAAATTATTTTTAATAAAATTTTCAATAATAATTTTTTTTATATACAGGTATATTTTTAATTTTGATAAACTAATTTAATTTAGTGTTAAGTTATCAGAATCATTTTTTTCTATCTATCGTTTTTACTCGTTGATCACAAATCAAACAAATTAAACTAACAAAAAAATTGATTGTCAAATATATAATTAAAATTTTGTTTGTTTGTTAATTATATTTAGATTCAAAGTAAAAGTATATGACATATATTTAGCAAAATTTATAAATATATATATATATTATTTAATATAATAGCGATGCTATGGTTGGATGAATGATTACAAAAAAGGAGGTACAGATTTTGTCACCTCAAACATACAGGTATTTAATATATTATTAATAATAATATTACAGTATTATTATTATAACATAAATTTCTATTTCAAATTCATTTAATGAGTTTTTATAATATATTTTTTGTTATCTAATATAAAATAAATTATTATATCAGTCAAATTAAAATTCTTTATATTTTTAAATATTTTAAGTACAAAATTATTATTATTTTTTTTAATAATTAGTGATTGTGTTTATTAAATATAAAAATGATATACAAATAATATAAATCAMATCATGATATATATATATGGTATATAAACTTAAAATATAATAAATTTATGATTATAATGAAAATTATATATATATATATATAWATTAAAGATTAATTTATTAAGATCAAGATTATCATGATTATCAAATTATCAAGATAAATTAATAAATAAATATATATATAAATATATATATATTATACAGTATATGATATATTAATAKTATATTGCTATCTTTATTTGAATACCTTTAGAGAGCGCCGGTAGCCAATAACATATATACTGCCAATTTAAATGACCAGAATATTGGTTTTTTAATATGACTCGAGAACTGGTAATTTGTTGTAAATAACAAATTGTAACAAATAATATATAAATAAATAAATAATTGAATTTGACAAACAAACAAAAAAAGTTTTAATAGACGCTACAGTATATTTTTATTATTAAATAAAAATTAATATCAAAACAATTTATATCAAACAAATTTTATTCAAACATTTTTAAATATAACGCACAAAATTACTAAAAAAAATTATATGATAAATTAAATACTGTATTATATTTTTGATAAATTAAATACTGTATTATATTTTTGGATAAAATCTTTTTTGTTGTTTTTGTTGATAATAACTTAATTTATTTATTTATAAAATAACAATTATAATGTTTGTGTTTATAGTCGGTGTCATACTATGAGGGACAGGTATTGAACTTAATTTTCAATTTAAAAATCTTATTGAATGTCACTTTATTTTTTGGCCTATTTTTTTAAAAAAATAAATATTTGATTTAAAGAAGTATTTTTTTTGTCCAGTTTTAAACGATTTTTTTTTGTAGTTATTATTGTATTTTTTTTGAAAAAATTATTTATTTGTCCAAATAATTCAAGACACTTACAACAAAAACAATGTCACAATAATCTTGTTTATGAAATTTATAATAATTTACAATTATATTTAAACTAATATGTTTCTCAATATATAATATATTTACAGTATATATTGTATTATATAAATTATACAATAGTTATATTAAACCCTTGACTTTAATTTATATATATATATTTTATAAATATATAACGAATAATTGTTTAATAATAATAATAATATTTTTTTTATCAAAATAATATTTACTTACTTAATTATTGTACGATACTTAAACAATAAAATAGTAGTATAATTTTTTTAATAATATACAGTATATTATAATCAATTTAATTATGCAATGTTATAAATCATGTAAAATATGAATATTAATTTGAAATTAATTTTTTTAACAAAAAAAATATTAATGATTTCTATTATTAATTAAATACAATTATATTGTCATTAATGCATTAAATAATAGATAATATACTGATTAGTATTGTATGTACTGTATATGTACTGTATATACAATATTAATTTGATGTCAACTAGTCTAACAAAGCGATACAAAAATTTTTAAATACTAATTATAATTATAAAATCATTTAAAACTATCAATGCGTAAATTCATAAAAATTAATGTTTAAATATATTATTATTATTATTATTATATTGTATACTTACATTACAATTTATAGCATATAATTACAAAACTTAAACTTTAATTTAATATCATTATAAATATAAAATTATTTATTGTACGATATTACATAAAGTACAGTATTACTGTACTGTATTAGTATTTATTATATTTAATATTATTATTGCATTGTATACTAGAAAATACTAGTTTTAAAAATCAAAGTTTTTAAAAGTTATCATTTAATTATAAAATTATTTTAGTTCATAATTTCAACTATTATATAATTTTCATATACATACACAATAATTGTTGTAATTATTACATTTTTTAAAAATTGTTACATATATTTAGTGCATATTATCATATTTTTAAATATTTGTTTATATACCGTATGGTTATATTTTTAAATATTTTTAAATTTTATGATTAATAACGATGTTACTTTAATGATATACATTTTATTAATTAAAAATAGTAATATATATATATATAGGTATTGTAATATTAAATTATTTAATTTAAAAATTTTACTTAATTAATTAATTTATAGCATAATTTTAATAAATATCTAATTAAAATAATATATACAATATTTTTTTTATTAATAGATACATTAGTAATGTTGTAATTAATTTTTTTACACTAGTAATTATTGCTAAATATAAATATGATAAAAATTATATATATATATAATATATTTAAAAATATAATAATCAAAATGATAGCAAATAGTAATCTATTTTTGATAAAATAAAATCATATTATTATCATAAGTGTGGAAAATATGATAAGCAAATTGATGTAACCATAAGAGTTGGCACCAAATAATAATAATAATAATATCAATACACTATCATTGAGTGCGACAAACGATACTTTATGGAGATTTTTGAGTTAAATTTAAAAAAAACAATTGTTATATTAAAAAAAACAACTATTATTATAATCACTGAATAATAATAATAACTTATTATTAATAAGTGTATGTGTTTTACCTGTATTTTCCTAATAAATTATATATATATATTTAATAATAAATTACTACTAATTATATTAGAAAGCATTAATAAAAATTTTCATAATAGTAATAATAATATTATTAATTGATATAATTTTACTATTAATTATTACTGTATAGCCCAACAATTATCATTTTTTAAAAACTTTTTTTTATCAGGTGTAGCCAAATAAAAATAATGATTACTATTATATGGTATGATATATACTATACAATATATATATACATATTATTTAACTCCGCCTACAATACAATTGTATGTATTATAAAGTGTATTAAACTTTTCTTATATAATATATATAYTGTATATATATATATTACTGTATATTTTAGTACAAACGTAACATCATTGACATCATATTGATATCATTAGGTATTAGTGAAATAAATCATATGATGAATACCCTATTATCATGAAATCTTAAGCAATAAAAAAATTAAGTGATAAACAACAACTTAATTAATATAATAATAAAATAATAATTATTATTTTTTAAAAAAAATTACACACAAAATATAATGAAACTAATTCTCATTTAATTTAATAGTGTCTTCAATTATTGCATTATTTATTGTTAAAATAAATTAGTTATTAAATTACATACGGTATAATAAACTTTTTTTTAAACTAATTAACTATTTTACTAATTTTATTAAATAATATATTTATATATTGCGGAATATATTGGTTATTGAATATATAAGTAACTAAAAATAATGCTCAAAAATTTACAAATTTTTAACACAATGATTATTATACAGTAAATTTACAATAGTAATAGCATTAAAAAAAATTATAGATACAATCTATGTATTTTTGAAAGTTTTTGACAGTACAGTAAAGTCATAGATTTTTTTATAAAAAATTTTAAAGAGACAAATGTTTTTTGTTTTTCTAGTATTTAAAAGTCTCTATTTGTCTAAAAACCAATTGTTTTCAGTTTTTTGGTGACATTTTTAAAGGTAACAATTGTTTAGTTGAAAGGCAGACACAYACACAYACACACACACACACACACACACACACACACACACACACACACACACACACATACACATACAGACACACACATATATACACACACATACACACACACATAAACGGTATCGACATTATAATAATAATGAACATAAATTAATAGCAGTTACTGTCGTCACCACCGATAACCGGCAATTTGATAGACCAGTTGGTGTATATACACAACCATTATAATCATAATGCGATCACTAGTATTAAGCATTTATTGTTGGCCTCATTTTATTTTATTTATTTTTTTGTTTTAATTGACAAATGTTTTTCCAGTAATTATTTGAAAAATTAAAATGTTTAATAACTACATATACAATAGTATTTACAATACAATTTATATGATAGTGAGTAAGTGATATATTTATTTTATTTGGCGATTAATCAATTGTTTGATTTATTTTATTAGTTAAATACATTTTTTTTAAAACAAGATAATACCAGTCATACAATGTCTTGAGTCTCTCTCTTAATGATAATTAGGTTATTAGTGTAAAGCAATTGGCGGCAAAAGAAAAGCAAAAGTCTTGGAGAAAATGTTTGGTAAAAGAGTGACCATTAGTTAAGCTTAAAGAGAGTATACATTATTATATGCGACCCCTATTTTCTCCTCTTCCTTCCTTTTTAAGAGCTCCGGCTCTCTGACACCTGCCGTTCCCCTCTTATAAGAGATGAGATGGGCTCAGCACTGACCTAAACCCATATTTAGTAGAGTAGTCGTAGTAGTAGTAGTACTGGTGGTACTGTAGGACCTGTGAGTCTTAAAATGCAGACATATTTTTCTTCCCTTCCCTTCACTTCTCTTTATACATACAGATGTAAAGTATTCTTGAAATCTCCTTTTTCTTTCCCCTCCCCTCTGTAAAGGCTAACCCCCTCTAAAAGTTTTTCCTAATATTTTTGTCGATTACAGTCTATACACACAGTTTTGAAGGTCTGTTGGGTTTTGGTCTCACCATTCATTCACTCACACTCTTTCTAACTCACTTGTAGTGGACATTCTTGAGGTGTTTAGTCTTCTTCTTCAATGTGTTTAAAAGAGAAGGCATTCAGAATTTTGTTTGGGAGGGGAACTGGTGGTAGTAGTGGTAGTAGTAGTGGTCTAGTTGTTGCTGCAGAGGAAATGTTGTGTTTTTTGGCTTTAACTACAACTCTAGTAGTAGCCAACAATGGACAGCACAACGATGAGTACTTTTATTTTGTAGGTCTTTCCTTTAAGTTATATACCACTAGAAAAAATGTATACAAATTTAAATACGAATAATAGTGTCTGACTGGTAGTAGTAGTAGTAATATATATATAACTTTAAGATTTTATGTAAAAATATTGTTTTTTAAAAATAAATATATGATTCTCTCTCTCTCTCTCTCTCTCTCACACACACACACACACACACAGTCGTCTCTCTCATTATTTGAATCCATATTTTTCACAACAAATTATTTATATATATATATATATATATTAATTTTTTTCTGCTAAATAAATGACCCAAAAATCAATGAGTGATGTTATTTAATGAGTAGTAGTAACACATTTGCCAATTAACCTAAAGATGACTTCAAAGAAAAAATGTATTTTGAAAAAAACTTAAGGCAACGAAAAAAGAGTTTTGTTTTAAATAAAATTTATTTACAAAAATAAAATATTTAATATAAATTTATATACACACTAACATAAATTATACTTGTTTAGTTGTAAATAAAATCAATTAGAAGTTGTCAATTTTCCTATTAATTAATTAATTCATCAAATAACCCCAAAAAATAATGATATATTTATTTATAAAAATATTTAAAATATGTTAGTATTGTTATCGTATAGTATTTAATGAAACTATGTTTTTGTTGAACTCATTTTGCTAACTATAATTAAATCAATACAGTATTATTTTATTTTAAAAAATTATAAATATTAAAAAAAGATAATATTAATATCTGATATATAAAATTTTATTAATAAATATACAGTATATATAAATTTTATTTTTATATACTATTTAGAGGATGATAAATTAGTTTTTTTTGTTTAGAAATTTAAATTACTAAACATAAAAAAATTAACCTTAGTTTAGATTTTTTTAATTAATATATATATATATTTAAATTATAAATAAACATGCTAAATTAGCAATATTTATTTAATTCTAAAATAATGTCCTTGTATCATTTAATGCTTTATTACAATAGAGTATTTATGATAGAAATTATTGTTAATATTAAAAATAGTTGTCTATTTAAAATAAAATACTATACTATGCTATACATCTACATATTTAGTAGAAATAAATTTTTAAAAAATTTATTATTTTTTTTAATATACATGTAGTGTAAATATTTCAGTAAATAACTTTTTATTTAAAAAAAAATACTGGAAATTCTTGCTATTTATTGTTCACTTCAATTGATTTACTTAAAACAAAAATTATAAGACAACTTAAAAACAATTCATTTACTACTAACTAACTAATAATTACTGGTTTTTAATATATATATATATATATAWATAATCACTAATACAAACATACATTTACATTGCATTCATGATCTATATATTGAATATAYTGTATTGAAAAATATATAGAACATCAATGTAAACGATGCTAACATTTATACAGTAAAAAACATTTTATAATTATTTAAAATAAAATAATTATATTTTTTGGTGAGAAAACTCTTTTTAAAATAAAAAACATATTATAGTTATACGTATTATATGTATTGCTATCTATTCATATATCTTTACCATATGATCGACGACTTTGAATGGTTTATGTTTGTGTGTATGTGTTTCCATTAATACATTCAACGCATTCAACCACCTGTACACTACTACACTAGTCATCTCCAACATAGTATTGGCTGTGTTACTATGTTCGCAATGTATGACTTGTTTGATATGTATGGTATGTTGAAGTGATTTGTGTTGTATTTTCTTTGAACGCCAATAATAGTCAATACTGTATATTAGTGTATATACCAGGGTTGGAAAAATACAAGGTTTTCAATTTTGACTTTGTATAATACAGTAAAATACAATGTACAGTATTATACAAATTTTAAAACTAATATACAGGTATATTATGTTAAAAAAATACTTTAAAATATTTAGTAAAAAATATAATTGCTAGAAAATGCATTATTATTATTATTACTAGTTTTTTCTAAGTCATAATAATCAAATAATTTAAAATAAAAATTGAATCTATATTTATTATAAAATATGATTTAATTTGCATATATCAATGCTTTTACCAATAGGTGGTGCTAAATTTTTTTTTGTAAACCAAATTGGTCATGTATTTTACATTGTATTATACTTTAAATTATATTACGCTTTGTATTATAATAAAAACATTTTGTCTCTGCCAACACTGTTGTATAGTGAATGCTCAACAAGAAAAAAATAAAGGGATATTTATTTAGACGACAAATAAGTTTTTTAAATTTTAATTTTTAAAAAAATAATATTAATCAAGGTAGTTTTTCTAATGACTAAGTTAATATTGCATTGTATAAAGTTTCAAACTTTCTATACACACTATAGTTAAAATTGTATCACTTTTTTTTAATTCTCTGATTTATAATAATAATTACCTTGCTAATTTATAAACTAAAAAATTTTACATTTTAAAAACTAAATCTATTAGACATATTTAACCAAGTACAGTATTTTTTAAACCAGTACACTATTATTATTATTATTATTATTATTATTATTATTATTATTTTTTTTTTTTTAAAGAAAAATATATATTATAAAATCATATACAGAAAAATAATTATAATTAATTAAACAATAAAAATCTACAAATTAAATAATTAAATAACAACAAAAATTACAACATTATTTTAAATTGATCATTTTTAACCCCCACCCCACCCCCTCTTTATATATATATATATATATATATATAAAAAACCATAAGACAAAAAATATTGGCTTAAAATATATAAATTATTTTATCATTTGTTAGTTATATGTTTTGTAATCAGAGGGTGCACTGTATAGACTGCACTAGTATTGGCAGTGCTTTTTACGACCCGTTTTCCAGGCTCTCTCTCTCTCTCTCACACACACACATACATACAGTACATACATATACATAGCATAGCATACCATAAGCCCATAGCATAGCATACATTGCTATCCAATCTCTGGGAGTCATTGTTTGACAGTCAAAGCCTCGCATAAGAGGGTGACTAACATTGACTGCCAGTGACTAACCAGACAAAGACCTTTCATATCAAGTGATGGTTTGGTTTTGGGTTTAAATGCTTTTTATTATACAGTAGTTTATACTCAACTAAACACAAGACACACACACACAACAAAAAAACTTTGTCTTTCTCTCGTCATTACCACCGATGATGATATGATCACACATACAGACCAGTGTTAATAGCAATTAATTAACAACATATTTGTCACTGAAATTAATTATTATTTGTATTATTAATAATTGTTTTTAATTAAAAAAAAAATATTTCTTTATTTGTGATTTTTTTTGTTGTTTGAAAAACACAACAGACTTTGTTGTATACGAAGACATCTCTTTCTCTCTCTCGAAGAGTCCAACTCTTTAAGAAAAAACAATGCAAATGTCAAATGATATTTAAATAGCAATAGTATTAATAATAATCAGAAGTTGATCCACAACTACGACACTGTGTGTGTGGGTTTGTGTTTGGTTTACAACAACTTGATTTGGTTGACAAAAGAAAAGGATCGGTGGATGTGTTTGGAGTTTAATTAAAAGGATTTACGAGATGACTGTCTACTACTACGGGAACCGATAGTAGTAGTCGTAGTTGAAAGTAGTAGTTGTTGTTGTAGTGGAAGTAGTTATTACAGATGAACCAACAAATGTTGGTTATGGCCCACCATAACCACCATCAGCACAATGTTATGCTGGCGGCCGCAGCCGCGCAGTCCTATCATTCGGCGACCAATGGCAGCTCATTGACGGCGACGACAACAGCGGCGGCTGCATCAGCAGCAGCGGCCGCTGCCCATGATATGCAGCCCGACAGGCCTATCGGTTACGGAGCCTTCGGAGTGGTCTGGTATGTGTGTCTATGATATGTCTATCAAATGTCTTTAAAGTGTGTGCTTAATGTGTGCCATATCTTGATGAGCCGTGGACTGTGTTGTCCTCATTGACACATCCGTTATGCACTGATAATCAATTGCCAAAAACTAATTGAGCGCACAATACATATGATATATCTTAATGTTTTTGTTGCGTTTTGTCGTTGTTTTATATATTTTATATTTGTTTCTTAATTATTATTATTATTATTATTAGGTCAGTAACAGATCCACGGGATGGCAAACGAGTGGCCCTCAAGAAAATGCCAAACGTCTTCCAGAATCTGGTGTCGAGTAAACGGGTCTACAGAGAGATAAAGATGCTGTGCTTTTTCAAACATGAAAACGTATGATTTGAACTACTTCTTTGTTGATGAATAAATGGTTAACTTATTGATAATAATWATTATTATTATTTACCATACAATCCAATCAATAGGTGTTGTCAGCCGCAGACATATTGCAACCGCCACACATCGACTTCTTCCAAGAGATGTATGTCTATTGTTGTTGTTGTTGTTGATGATAATGATTATAATGTGTGTGTTGTTTAACTGATCCAATCATTGTTTGTTTAATTATTTATTTAACCAGTTATGTGATAACCGAACTAATGCAAAGCGATTTGCATAAGATAATAGTGTCCTCACAACCGCTAACCTCAGATCATGTGAAGATATTTCTCTATCAAATTCTCAGAGGACTTAAATATCTGCATTCGGCCAGAATTCTTCACCGGGATATCAAACCGGGAAACCTATTAGTTAATAGTAATTGTTTGCTCAAAGTATGTGTTTTCACAAAATTTTGAAATGATTTTAAATGAATTGTCTGTAATTACGGTAATCTAATCTTTGATTTTGAATCTCTTCGTTATATATATAATAGATATGCGACTTTGGTTTGGCCCGAGTCGAAGAATCAGACTCATCCAGATTGATGACACAAGAAGTGGTCACACAGTATTATAGAGCACCGGAATTATTAATGGGTGCCCGACATTATACGTCAGCTATAGATATCTGGTCTGTCGGTTGCATTTTTGCCGAACTATTGGGACGACGGATCCTATTTCAGGCACAGACACCCATTCAACAGGTTTGGATATTGCACTTGTAATTGGAGTCGATTTTATTTTTATGGTATTAATATTTAATATTATTTTAGTTGGAACTCATAACAGACTTGTTGGGCACACCGGAGCCGCCAGATATGCGATACGCCTGCGAAGGCGCCCGCATTCATATCCAGCGTCGACCACATAAGACACCGTCGCTGGCGTCGCTATACAATCTCTCATCTCAGGCTAACCACGAAGCTGTTCATCTATTATGTCAAATGTTGGTCTTTAATCCTGTAAGTGATTACCTAATAATAATAAATATATTGTTTTCATTGTTTGTTTAAATTAACTATAATTTTGTTACTATCTATTCCTTACTTTAATTTGACTTCAAAAATAAAGGATAACCGAATCAATTGTACCAACGCTTTGAGTCATCCGTATTTAGAAGAGGGAAGACTTCGCTATCATTCATGTATGTGCCGTTGCTGTCACACAGTGGGTCCAAATCGTAGGTATGCCGCCGATTTGGAGCCTATGGCGCCCACACCGTTTGATTATGGCTTTGAAAAAGAGTTGACTTCAGTACACGCGGTCAAAGGTTTGTTTGCTTTTATTGATATCAAATTACACATACCTTTTTTGTTGATAATTTTTATATTAAAATATATTAAATTTTTTTTAATCAAAAATATCATTTACAGAGCGTTTGCACAAATCAATACTAGAGAAGTGTTCGCTATCGTCACTGTCTAATAGGGTTCCCCTTTGTATTAATCCCAACTCAGCCGCCTTCAAGAGTTTCGCCAGGTTTGTAGTAGTAGTAGTATAGCTTATCATATTTATTTTTATTGGGGTGCAATTATTGCATACCATAATAATCGGTTATATCGATAATCACTAAAAAAATTTTTATTTAAACAGTTCAACTGTTGCCCATCCATCGGAATTGCCACCATCTCCTCACTGTTGGGAATAACTATTATAGTGTTTAGTTCTCGTCCGTAAAAAGTTTTTATTATTTAGTCTTTAATTTAAATCAAACCACACTCTTCATCATTCTCTTCCTCCTCATCAAGACTGCGTRTGAGAGAGAGAGATAGATAAGAGAGAAAGAAACTGCAATTTGATGACTGATTGTCGCCACAAAAAAACAAACAAATCATCGGAAGACTTCTCTCCAATCAATTAATTAACTTATCATTTGTTGGTTTGAAGTTCAAAAATGATTATCTGATATATAATTTATTATTAGTTTATTTATTTTATTTATCAACTATTTTATATTTACCGTAAAACAAAACAAAAAAGTGAGAATCACTCGATGAAATTGCAAGTACCGTATTCTCTCTCCCACTTAATAATGATAATATTAATCTTAATTTTTTTTTAAAAAAAATAATAACTTAAACAAAAAAACTTATGAACTATTATTTTACACATTTGCATAAAACTAATTGAATGCAATTGATTTCATTGATTGAATTCATTAATGAGAAATGATAAGCGAATTATTATGGGGTTCCAGTGGATTAAATGTGTAAATAGTTTTTTTTAATAATAATAATTTTATACTCAATCAAGTGATTTTAAAAAACAAACAAATAGTGACTCTCTTTTCACTAATTGAAAACATCATGTTTTTTGGGGGCGTTAAATAGCTTAAAATTTATATATAACAATCATTCAATCCGATTGACTATTATATATATACATTTAAAGCTATTTAATGTGTGTTAATTGTGATTAAGATTGGCTTAATTTTGTCTCTGTGTGTATATATATGTATATGTGTTTGAGCACAACAATCATGATTTGTGAAAAAATATCAATTTGTATTTTGTTTAAAACAAAATACAATTAAAAGAAAAAATTAAGTAACAATTTAAGCAAATATTTGTTTGGGGTTTTTGTTTTTAGCGAAAAGAGTTGCCATAAAAATAATGACAAACAAAATGTCTTATCAATCAATCAATGAATATCTTAGAAAATATAGTCAACGATTGAGTTAATAATAATTAATAAATTTAGTGTAATTTTTTTCTATCGACATGTGCCTCAAATTCAACACTGATATCTAAACTGGTTGTGTGTGTGTCTGTTTGACATACCAGTGCCCCCCTATCTGGTGTTTGAATCAATTATATATATATATATATAATACATACATTTTAATAATATTATAGCAAAACATACCATACCATAACAGACCTCTTAATTAAGTAATTAATTAATTGCAATTCATATGCATTGATCTCTTATTACAAATAGTCACTCATTTAAAAACTCATCACAAAAACCACATACAACCAAAACAAACATTCATTTTCATTATACAACTCATAAAACAAAAAAAAAGTTTTTTGTTTAGGTATTTAATCTTAATTAAATTATTATTATTATTTTGGACTCATTTTATTTTTAATTTCTCTAATTTAATTTTTTTTTATTAAAATTTAATTATATGTAAAATAAGTTTTCTTCATAAAAACACCATTTAATCAATTGTTAGCCAATTATTATTTATAATTTTTTTTAGGTTTGAATAAACAAACAAAAAAAAGTATAGGTTTTGTCAGTCAGTCAGTCATTAGGTGTGTTTTCTTAGATTTTCCTATCCTCTCAATAAAATCCCTGTTTTTTTTTAATTATTGTAAACAATTATAACCGACTGAAACATAAATATACAATAAAACAAAACAAAAATTGTATGTTTTAACAAATGTCAGAAAGTTTCTTAACAAATATACAGTACCAGTAGTAGAATGATATATATATATATATATATATATATATATATATATATATATATATATATATATATATATATATATATCTCTCTCTCTCTCTCTCTCTCTCTCTCTCTTTCTGACATTACTGTGCCTCTCGATTCTGTCCAGATTTTCTCGGGATTTTACAACAAAACACACACAAAAAATAACAAACAAACGAATAGTTGGGAAATGTCCTAAACATATATATATATATATATATGAATATCTATATATATTTATATATACATTTATATATATATATATATATTAATATCTATATATATATATATATGTATATCTATATATATATATATATATATATATATATTATATAGATATATATATATATGATATATATATATATATATATATATATATATATAGACTATATATATATTATATATATGTATATCTATATATATTTATATATATATAGCGCTAATCGATTGTTTTAAAAATTGTATTAAATTGTATTTAAAAAAAAAATTAAGAAGACTATTTAAAAATTTTTGAAAATATTGTAAAAAATACTGTATAAAAAAAGTATAGAAATGTAATGAGTATTCAATTTATTTACTACTACTACTTCTTAATTAATTTTTTCTTAATTGTGTATAATTGAGATATATATATGTATTTGATAGCCTACATGAGCTGCAAACAAGCCGTACCACTGCCACAATGGGTCCGACACTTTGTACTTTACATACAAACAAACAAAAAAGTAGTGAAAAAGTTTTCAAAAATGTGTTGTTCACCACATTATGATTAAAGATTAATGTATACAGTAATGTATAGATAGATGTTTTAAAAAAAAAAAATTAAACAAAAACATTGATTAAATGCTTTTTGTAAATTTTGTCACTAATTTTTTATCAATTAGTGAATTAATAAGTTTTTTATAATGGTTTTTTTTATTAATATTTTGTAACGGGATTTTTAAATAGTGTTTTTATTTGGTCTGTAAAAAATGTGTAATTGAAACGATACAAACAAAACAAATGGGTTTTTTTTAAATAGTAAATGTCTACCAATTTTTTTATTTAAATGTATGTAACCCTATGTATGTATATGTATTTGTGTGTTTGTGGATATGATCTACAACAATTAAATAATTAATTTTTTTTAATTAGATTAATTTCCAATTTTTTAGTAATATTAATTTTTTTTTTTTTGATAATTTTTCATCAATAATTATTGCTCATTTTTTTTAATTTAATTAATTAATTAATTCAATTGTAATATGAAATCACTTTTTTTTGTACGAATCAAATAAATAAGAAATTTGAAAACAAAACATTGAATTTTTAATAATTTTTATTAATTTATTTTATTTCTATTATATAATTATTATCCCCTAAAAGTCATAATCATTTGTTTGTTTGTTTAAATTGTTTTTACATTTTTTTTGTTTTAAATTTGAAGCAAACAATCAATTGATTTATTTATTGGCAAAGTCTTCACCCTTTTTGATACTATCCTTCAGTTCTTTGATGGCATTCTTTACCAGATTTTGTTCGAAATCCGATAGCTTTCCTAATCCAAGATTTTTTTCGACACCATTTTTCTAAGTAATAATAATACGGTTAATAAATGAAGAATCATATCGAAGAAGAAGAAGAAGACGAAGAAAAAGATGAATAAAACACTTACGCCTAACACAAGTGGTGTCGAGAAATAAGAAGCTTCGGTAACGTCTGACTTAACGAAAGCGCATTCAATCACTTCTTTGCCGTTCAACGCTTCCAAAAGCTATTGTAACCAACAAACAAACAAAAAAACTTATGGTTAGATCCACTTATATTTTTTATTTACGGGTAAATAGTGGTCACCAAAAAAAACTTACCGATACTGCGAAGCGCGCGCCGGCAAAAGCCATCGACAAAGTGGCCGAACCCTAAGTGTTCAAAAACAAGTTCAGTGTCATTGATACGGAAAACGATAGATCCGGCGATTTATTGAAATAATAACATACCGTTCCTGCCTTCGCCTTAACCACTTCAGTGCCGGCGTCTTGAATTCGTTTGGTCAGAGCGTCCAGTTTGTCGTTCGGGAAGGAAACCGAAGGATTCGATCGCGAAATCAACGGAATAATAGTAATACCCGCGTGACCGCCGATTACCGGCACATTCACTTGATTCGGATCGAGACCTTTGGCTTCGGCAATGAATGTATTGGCCCGAACCACGTCCAGAGTGGTCACACCGAATATACGTTTCGGATCGTAGACGCCGTTCTTTTTGAACACTTCCGACGCGATCGGTACCGTCGAGTTGACCGGATTCGAGATGATTGCGATCATAGCTTTCGGGCAATATTTGGCGGCCGCGATGGACAGGTCGCGCACAATAGACGCATTGGTATTGAAGAGATCGTCGCGAGTCATTCCCGGCTTTCGGGGAACTCCGGCCGGTATGACAACCACTTGGGCGCCCTCGAGCGCCGCCTTGAGCTGATCGGGTCCGACATAGCCGGTAACTCGTGCCCGTGTGTTGATGTGACTCAGGTCGGCGGCCACACCGGCTGTGTGGGCAATATCGTAGAGACTCAGATCGGAGACCAGTGAGCTATGCTTAAGAAGCAGCGATAAGGGCTGTCCGATACCTCCCGACGCACCCAATACAGCAACCTTGGAGTTGACCTAAAAAAAAGTATCGGAAAAAACCCGAATTGCGAAACAAATCAGTCATTAGATTCTTGTGAATAATAATTCTTTAAAATTTTGATGAATAAATGGTTTGTCTGTCAAACCTGATTGGATGTACTGAAGGATCGGCTGTTCTTCAGACAGATTTGTGACAAACATTTGGCTGATTTGCTAAACATTTTTCCAGAGAAGACTTTACTTAGCAGTTATAGTGATAGTAGTAGTAGTTGTGGTGGTAATGATTTTCTGTCTCCTAATCTGATTCCGATAATAATAATTATATATAAAATACTTCACCTGAAGGTCAATAACGAGAGACAACTGAAAGACAGTACAAGAGGTCGCAGCAGTTGTCGATGAAAGTCATGGAAAACAACAAATGATGTCAAAAGACATGTTCTTCTTCTTCTGTTGTTTTTCTGTTGTTTCATTCAATTCGTTTGATTTTGATTTTTCACTTTCATTTCATTTGAATTCAATTCTGTGACCAAACTTTATTTCATCTGCGAAGACATATCCAGACATAAACAAAAATGGAGACCAAAAAGTATTGTATAGTTTTTTTTTGTGGCCATAATTTAAATCATTGATTGAATTGTCTTTTAATTTTAATTTTTTGTTTTTAGATACGGATTGATTCAATTGTCGAAAAATTCAAACAAACCGATCGCCACACTCAAGAAGAATATATTTGAAAGCGATTCCGATGACAATGAAGACGGCAATGAAGATAGTAGTCGACCTAATGTCAAAAAACGAGTGGACACGTCGTCGGGCGTCAAACGACAGACACAGTTGGATATTAGTCGAGCGCTTACTGAAGATCCCAATGTCTTTGAATACGATAGCATTTATGACGATATGAAGACCAAAAAAGAAGAGACAAAAGTGGCGATCGAAACGGATTTGAAAAACAAAGAACGACCGAAACCTAAATATATGAATACTTTGCTGAAGTATTCGGAAAACAGAAAATTAGAAACAGAAAGAAGAGCTGAACGAAAAATACAGAAAGAAAGAGAACTCGAGGGCAACGAGTTTGCAGATAAGGAACAGTTTGTGACCAATGCTTACAAACAGAAATTACAAGAAATGAAAGCCTTGGAGCTTAAGGAACAAAAGGAACAACAGATTGAAGGTATGTATGGATACTGTTTTCGGTGATATTGTTGTTCTTTTAGATGTAATTTTCGTTTTTGTTTTGTTGAAAGATATGTTGGATGTAAGGAAACAACAAGATTTGTCCGGTTTTTACCGAAATCTACTTAATAGAGACATGTCTTCCGAACCGAAAACATCGGAAACTGATTTATCATCCGAAGAGTTAGCAGCAAATGTAGCAAAAGAAACTAAAGTAAAAGATATACCAAAATCTAAACCTAATCGTCAATTCAGAGCTCGCCGAAAGAGCTCTTCGGAAGAGGAAGAAGATGGCGAAGTAGTGGACGAAAGCAAAGAAAAACCAAATCTGTTTAAAAAACCCAATTTTGAAGACAAATCTAATAATCAATCAAATAAAACGATAAACAAGAGACAAGAAAGTAAAAGTGGAACCAATGAATTACTTCATGACAAACATAAGACTGCTATCACCACCAGTAGTGATGACCAGAAATCTAGTGATAATTTAGTTGATAATAATGAGACCACTAATGATGAGACAACAGCTGAAACAGAAGAAGAGAGGAAACCAAAGTTAAGCCGAAGAGAACTATTGATACAAATGTTTACTAAGAGAACAGTCGGAGAGGTATTAACTGAGGCACAGATGAGATACTTTCAAAGGAAAGGCAATTATGTTTTGTAAGATAAAGACAAAAAATTAGGTAATAATTAAGTCATTTATAATTAATAAAAATAATAATTATTATTTATTATAAATAAAATTTTAAAAAATAAACATTTTTATTATAATCACATAAAACTTGTTATAATATATATTTTAATAAAACAGTAAATTAATAATAATTTATTAATAATAATAAAAAATCATATTTGTTTTCCACAGCCGACGCTAAATGTATTTTGACTTAAAGTGCTTAAGAACTCCCTATAAATGCAGACAAATAACAAAATTATGTGAATATACGGTAATTCTCTATAAAAATAAATGTTACCCCAAATCATCTTCATTTGAATTGTTGTCACCAGAACTTCTTGGACCACCATTTCGTTGTTGATTAGAATGAAGACTACGCCGATGACTACTATTATTACGATTACTACTACTACTACTACCGGTAATACTGGATGTGTCCATCATTTTTGAGATTTTCTCCAATTCCCGATCCAACGGTGAACTACTACTACCACTGGTCCATCTGTTTCCAGCATTAGGACTATTACCACCGTTAGTACTGCTCATGGATTGATGTGCGCTTTTTGTTGTCATAGATCTATCATCTCTTCTATTCAATTGACCATTTGATGGTTTATTATTCTGATAAAAGCTATCACTTTTGATGAACTCTTTGACCACTTCGAACGTTACCAACGAATAGCCGAATTCATTATTTTGCGGTATATTCCAACTGAATGTTTGAATAAAAGTGATTTCACTCTCAAACTGTTTGGGTTTGTGTGTTGTCAGTACACAGATGAGTGTCGCAATCAAGTCATCCGACATAATACAAATGGGATCTCGTTTGGGACCTATCGGTAGATATCGATAGTAGTCTTCAACCGTTTTGTTTAGCTGATCGGTAACTAAATCTAATATCTTTCGCAAACAGTAAAGTTTTTCCAATGGTGTTGTCTTAATCTCTAAGTCCGTCAATTCGGCCAAAATGTTTGGATTTATTGTAAAATTAGTGAATACTTTCTGAGCTCCGAATTCAACCGGATTTATGCTTCGTTTGAAAAGTTTCATAAAATTTTCGTAAATCTTTTTATCATCTCTTTCGCAGTATTTATTAATTGCCAAAAATAGTTTGTGATGACATAAACCAATTACAAAACTATTAAACAGTTAATTAAAATTAGAAAATAGTTTGTAATTTAAATATATATATATATATATATATTACAAACCTTTCAATAGCTGTACCTAATTGGGAATCATTTGATAAACTTGTAAAACTCTGATGATTACCAAAAAAAAAAAATTAAATTAAAATTAATTAATACATAAATAAATTACAATAACATTAATGTTAAACTATAATAATGAAATAAAAATTATTAATAAATACCTGAATACCAAATTCAACAATATCTTGAATAAGCTCTTTGGTATTATTGAGATAATTGGGTAAAACAGTCTGATTGTTAAGAAATTTGTCGACTTCTGATTTTAATGAATCAGTCAATTCTGGCGACAATTTAACTAAAAATTTCTCACAACTAATAGTAGAGTAAAAAAAATATTAAAATTAATTTGTTTTACAATAAATTATATATCACTATCAATGCAATACTAACTCATCGAAACTCATTAGCGATGTGTTGTCTTGACTGAGATGATTGCACTCACAGCTGATCCGTCTGTTTGATGAGTTAAGCAACGGATTATCACATATTAGTATTCGGTATTCTTTGCATTGCTTTTGATCCAAAAAAAAAAAAAAAAAATTAAATCAATAATCGACAAAAAAATTTACATTCATTAATGAAAAAATAAATACAAACTTACGTTATTGTAAGCAATCTCTTCGCTCAATATGTTGATTGTCTCACAATTTTTATCGTCAAAACCTTATTAAAAGACAATCAATAAAACAATACAAAGAGTTACAAATTTCATCAATCAATTGGTAATCACAACAACAACAACACAAACCTCTGGTCACACGTATCACTTGGCCATTGATTTCCGCGTCTAACGTATGCTTATTATTGGAGGCAACAAAATGACTGAAGAAAACCCGACAAAAAAAAGAAGAAGAAAACAGTGAATCAATTAGTAGATCCCAATCAACAGCAGATCATCCTTTTTTTGAACACTTACTTCTTGAGAAGCGGCGACGGTTTAAGTATATGAGCCGTAATAAACTTGTCGTTGATGGCAGTGGTATCATAACTGCCATCAATTGGTACACATATTATGTAACACTTGTCCTTTGCCTCTCTGTATCGCTTGGCGTACGACTTCTGCGTTAAAAAACAAGACAATCAATTATAGCTGATCCAAACCAACCATATATAATATGATATGATATACTGACCACAAGAGTGTTGTAGAAGAGATTGTTATGCAATGAAGTCATGTTTGGTTTGATGTGTCAAATGTCTGTTCACTTTCAAGACTCAACAATTGACAACTGATTTGTTGTCAATTAAAACCAAAACCAAAAAAATACCAAAAAAATCAATGAATCAAACAATTTGTTTGTTTTGTTTACACTTTTTTTTCATATGATTTTCATTTATATTTACATTGAATTCCAAATTATAATAGTTTTCTAATCATTAGATTTTAATTTTATGATTACATTATTACACATACAGTACAGTATCACTAATACTGTACACAACACATATGTTGTGTACAGTATTAGTGATACTAGTAATTAGTAGTAATTCAGAATAAACGTTACTTATAATAGAAAAGTAATGCAAAAAAACACATCAATAATTTACGTATTGATTAGTTAGCAAAAAACCTGTTTACAGGGTTTACAAAAAATTGTTTATTTTATTACGTTATTTGTGATTATTATTATTATTATGTCAACACTGTATTTATTTAAATGCCAACTATAATACTATTGACTTTAAGGATAAACCCCTAAACAGTACAATACATATGACAGTTAACTCTCGATAGTATGCTATGCAATGCATGCATAGTATGCATAGAGTATTAACTATACAATAACTATAGTGCGGATCGTCCTTGAAATGTATCGCTTAATATGATTCACTATTACAGTACTTTACTATACAGTTGTCATCCAAACATGTGATGGAAAATAATGTTTGAAATCAAATGTTTTTTTGTTTTCATTTTAATTATCAAACAAACAAATAATAAAATCATATGAAATATGTTTGTATTTATTATTTCAGTGATAATCTTATCGGTAGTTATTATCGGCTTATCGCTCAAGATATATGTCAAACTAGTGGACTGTAGATATCGTAGCCGTAATGGACTGACAAATGATGAGACTATTGTTGCCTTTTTTCATCCGTTTTGCAACTCCGGCGGCGGCGGTGAACGTGTCCTATGGGTGGCCTTACGTGCACTTCGGGACAAATATCCCGATTGTCATTATGTTGTTTATACAGGTTTGGATCAGTTATCTTTATTATTTGGTGATGATATCGATAACTAAATGATTTTTGTTTGTTTTTTTTGTAGGCGATGTTGAGGCCAAACCCGAAGAAATCTTAGCGAAAGCGCGAAACCATTTTAAGATTGATTTGGATGACTCGTCCATACGTTTTGTATATCTTAAGAGACGATATCTAATCGGTTGCCAATTGTATCCATACTTTACACTATTGGGTCAAAGTATTGGCTCCGTAGGACTCGGTTTGGAAGCGCTGTTCAATTGTCGGCCCAACATCTTCATCGACAGTATGGGCTACAGCTTTACGTTTCCAGTGTTCAAGTATTTAGGCGGTTCACGTGTGGTAGCATATGTCCACTATCCGACTATCAGTACCGATATGTTAGAATTGGTGGCCCAGACACGTACCAGTTATAACAATCGGTCGTTTATCAGTAACAGTCCAGTGCTGACCAAAGCTAAACTTATGTATTATAAACTATTTGCATATCTGTACGGATTGATGGGCCGTATGGCCGAAATAGTGATGGTTAACTCGAGTTGGACTAAAGGACACGTCGAACATATATGGCAACGGGAGGCCCGAACAGTGTATCCGCCGTGCAATACAAGTGATTTGAAACAGTTGTCGTTGGCTAATAAAAATCGTCTGAAAATCGTATCGATTGGTCAGATAAGACCCGAAAAGAATCATAAGTTACAATTGATGGCTTTCAAAGAGTTTATCGATAGACTAGCCGCTGATGACAACAAATCGGTGGCAAAACTAGTCATAATTGGCAGCTGTCGTGACAGTGATGATGAACAACGATTGGATGAATTGAAAAAACTTTGTCATAAACTGGAAATCGACGATAAAGTCGACTTCAAGATTAACATTCCGTACGATGAGCTTAAACGTCAAATTGAAGAGTCGAGTATTGGTTTACATACAATGATTAACGAACATTTCGGTATCGGTGTTGTCGAATGTCTGGCCTCAGGACTCGTAACAGTGACGCACGACTCGGGCGGACCTAAATTGGATTTAATACGAAACGAAACAAACGGTTTTCTGGCAACAGATTTGCACAATTTTGCCGAAATTCTTTATAAAATTGCTAATCTATCGGATAGACAATTAATGGACATCCGAGTGACCGCCCGAAACAGTTCCGACCGATTTTCAGAGCAACAATTCGAGACACTGTTTCTACAATCCATTGAATCAGTTTTTTAATTAAAAAAACTTTTTTGTATTTCTAAAAAAAGTATTTGAGGGAAAAGAGCGTCTATTTATTGTATTTTTTTATTTAAAATAATATATGAGAGAAATAAACTGTTAATATAAGAAATTTTTAAAAATTAATCAAATGTTTAGTTTTATTTATTTAATTTTTTTTATTTGATGAAAAAACTTGATTATAAAACACAATTGAAGCGTTAAAATATAGTTGACACAACATTCACAATACATAAATTCATGTATTTAAAAAAATTATATTAAAGGTAATACAACTTTAAACACATACAAAATTATTTTTTCATCAAAATACACAAAATACAGTATTATATAATAATATCAATAAATGCCATTGAATTGCCACTTGTATTGCTGAGCTATTATACTGTTTACGATAATATAGATATATATTTGAATGAAGTGGTTGTCCCCTTACTCCCACACTAACGCCAGTTCACTGTTTCTAATACATAGTACCGACCATTTGTACAATCAATCAATACATACCCAGAGCGCAGTTATATAAATATTTACAGTAATAGTCAGTTTAAATGTCTATTTGTTTATTACATACACACACATAGTGTCTGACGATATAATTATATACCACCAGATGATTAGGACTAAACTGATTTAATATATATATATTTATTATACATACATATAGTCTATTAGTATTAGTATAATTATTATACATATTTAAATACATTATTGTATTGTATTAATAGAAAATATAAATTATGTTAATATTATATCTAATATTAATATAATCAATGATATAATTTATATCTATCTATCAATAAATCATATGTGTGTTTATGTTATGCAAATACAGTATAACTAAATAATAAAAATAATAACATATATTTCTATAGATATAGGATATTATGTAATGAATTTTTGATATTTTTCAAGTTTTGTTACAATCAGTGTAATCACTAACTAACTAATTTTACTTATTTATACAACTAATACAACTGTTTTTACATATATTGTAATTTAAATACATATTTAAGTAACGGTAAGTTTGTATTGATTTCAAGTGATTTATAATCTAATCGTTATTATTATTATTATTATTAAACAAATAGCAACTGATTTATACAGTCATAACTGTCAAGATTGAAGACAATGACCACAACAACAACTACAAGACTAATGCGTGACTCATTTGATCGTTTCGGCGATGATTTGGCCAATCTATTGTTGGCGTATCTGATGATAACACCTGAAGACAAATTGAAACTACAATTAGTTAGCAAACAGTGGCAGTCGGTGTTGTTTGGCGTACAGACTGACCTCACGATTGATATCGATCGCAGACATTACAAACAAAGAGTTAAATTGTTTGCTATGATTCTACAAAAGTGTCCAAATATTACCGGAGTTGTCATTACCCACCGTTCTGACTGCTCTATCGATGAATTAGTTGATCTATTGATGACATACTGTCCTCATTTGTTGCACTTAAGACTTCATATACTACATCACGAATGTCATCTGAATTGGGATACTTTTGACCGACTATTGTCGTCATTTGGACCACAATTGCAGACATTGGAGTTAACGACTGTATTTAGTATAAACAATAAACTATTGGTCCGTAAAGTCAGCGATTTTGTACCGCAACTCAAAAAACTGATGATTGGCTACAGTATGTATCCATCATTAGATTTTAGCCACTATTTCAGTCAACAGGGAGTTTGTCTTTTGCCTAAAAATACTAGTCTACAGTCGCTATCATTTCAGTTGACAGATCATTCAAATTGGCAGTCACTAATTGGTCCGTTTGCCAAAACACATGGCCATCAATTGACAACCGTCGACATTGGTATCAATTTTCGGGAAGAAACAAATTTACCGATATTTGTTGAGGCATTGACACAGATGTCGTTGTCTCCCAATTTGCGTCGACTAAGTCTAACTATTCAGAGGACTTTAGATCCATTTGTCGATTATTCCGACAATTTAATTGATGAACTAATACGACAACAGTTTAGCCGTCGATATTGTTATCAATTGAAAAGTCTTAACATTGAAGTTAAACGAATTACCAATAGTTTATTATTTTATAATTTTTTAGACTCATTGGGCAAAAGTTGCAGACAATTGAAACGTTTGACGATTAGTTTTAGAAATGAAGATAATATTAATAACAGTAATACTGATAATAATTGGCTAATAATGAGTGAATCAATGAAACAGATGAAACAATTGACACATTTGTCGCTTAATTTGGGAATCGGTTTTATTGGCGACAAATTTTTCATCGACATTGCCGACTATTTACCACGACTTCAAGTCATTGATATCAAGTATGCGGACATTAGCCGCCGATCACTGCAATCACTGTCCCGATTGTCTCACTTAACTAACTTACGATTTGCCAACTGTCGTAGCGCTGCCGTACTTTTCCATTGTATTTTCAACGATCTAATTAAACGGCAGCCGAATGTGGCCAAAGTGTTCATATCGTGGGACAGTAATGGCCAACAATTTATGTTTGGCTTTTATAACGATTGTGACACTAATTATTCACCAAAACATCCAAAATGTTTAATACAGTAATAAAACAGTACAAAAAAGAGATAATATTTTTTAAACGAAAAAATTGTCTACACTTTACAATCTTGTTGTAGTTGTTATTGTTTTTACTTATAAATACTAATTTATTTCATAAAAATTATTTGTTAAATTCAATATAATATAATTCCCTATTTGATTGATTGATTAAAAATATTTTGCCTTAATATAAATTATATAATATTAAACTGTTTACTACTACTGGCAACTGATTTTTAAAAAAGTTTAGTAAAACTGAAACTATTTATTAAAATTCAATCAAATCTATCGGATATTTACAAAAATTAATGGACATCTCGAGTAACCGCCCGAAACAGTTCCGACCGGTTTTTTCAGACCAACAATTCCGATACACTGTTCCTACAATCCGTTCAATCGGTTGTTTTTTTTAATTAAAACTTTTTATTATAATTGTGAGAAAAAGAGATCCTATTTGTTGTGCAATTTTATTGTATTTAAATATATATATTAATTTATATATGAGAAAAATAAATTGTTAAAATATATATCGGATATATAAATAATAAAATATACAGTTAACGGCTAAAAGTTTTTTTATTTGACATAAATTATCGGCGATTTATCGGTAAAGTTATGGACAAATGTTGTACAACAACAACAAAAAATTTAATAACTAATAAAAAAATAAGTTATCAAAATTTTTAATTATTTATTTTCTATATTTTTTTATTTGTTTGATGAAAAAACTTGTTATTAAAACACAATTGAAGCGTTTAATATATACTACATATCTATATATCATAAATACCGGTATAAAACAATCAAACAAATAAAAACTTATATAACTTTAAACACATTACACACACAAACATAATACATGATTGCATCAAACTATAAGCCACTCCTATAATGGAGACCTCTGTTGTCATAATCATTGTGTATGTGTTATACAAACAATATTGTATAAAGTGATTGACGAATAATACTGTGTATATTATACAGTGTATAACATTAACATAACATTACTGTACAGTACTGTATGTATGAGTCGATTGATTATTATTGCATGCATTCAATACAAGTGTTGTGTTTATTATAATATTATTATAACATTTGTGGTAATCATATGATGATGTGATGGACGAGTCGCTCATCTATTACTTGCTATTGATTCCCATCTCTATTCCGGTAACACTATTCTTCATGTTGTTGTCGTGGATGGGCTTCCAGTTGTTTATCAATAACTAAGTGCAGACGTTGTTGTCGTCGTCGTCATCGTCGGACAGTGACGTCTCATATAGTAGACGAGCGATACGATCGCCGCCGGTGTCACTCCTGGCAAGCGTTTGGCCGCAAATATCTACATATATATAGCCGTCATCAAAGATCGGGTATGTTTTAGACATATATATCCTATAGTTTTAAGACAATTTAAGACACAATACAAACCGTTTTGGGTTTATTTCTGTGTAAGACATCTCTGACTTCGTTGCTTAAGACCAGTTCGTCGTTCATGTAATCAAATTGCGGACTAATCTCAAGCGACTCTTCGCTCTTAATTTCTTCGGCTAAGTGTTGCTCTTCTCGTTCGTAGTGATCGTAAAGAGCTTTATTTGATTAGTAGTAATATAAAAGTTATTATTATAATGATTTGATTCAACACCAAGAAGTTGTCAATTGAATGAATGAATGGTTTGTTTTATCATTTTTTAAACAAAAAAAATACAAACCTTCAGATTTAAGACGATAGCTTAAGATGTGATTGCAATCAATTGGTGACAATTGTTTTGCAAACAATTTAACCAATTGATTGACTGAAAACTCGTTGAGTGCCAACACTTGAAAAGCTCTGCAAATTTAAAAGATTCAAATTATTTGTATTAAACAAACAAAAAAAATCATTAATTCATTAGTCCTAACGTCTTAAGCGAATTGTTTCGGTTATTATCCAAATTAATACCCAACTCTTGTCTCCATTTAGACAATGGTTTGCTAATTGATTGTAAAAACTCTTTACTTTCGTCAATGATTTGTCTCGTTTGACAAAACCGGTCATATCTTTGTTGCGAAACAAATCCCATTTCATAACCTTTTGTTTTTTTTAGATGAAAAATAATTGCCGATTAAATATATGTTTGAATTGTTTGTTTTTTTCCGGTGACACTATTAAGTTAACAACATAAATGATTAACCTCTTTGAGTGAACCGTATGTCCGCGTTGTCGGGTCTGAGCCTAAGTCTAAACTCAGACCTACTCGTAAACATCCGATACGGTTCGTCGGTTCCCATTGTTGTCAAATCATCGATTAGTACACCAATGTAGCCATCGGTACGACTTATAATCAGTGGATCTTTGCCAAGACATTTAGCCGCAGCATTAATACCGGCCACTATTCCCTGAGCGGCAGCTTCTTCATAACCGGTTGTACCGTTTATCTGTCCCGACATAAACAGATTATCTATTAGAGAAGTTTCCAATGTTTGTTTGAGTTGTCGCGGATCAATGTGATCGTATTCAACACCATAGCCCGGCCTTAACATTCGGGCCCTTTCGAGACCGGGAATCAAATTAATCACTTGTTGTTGTATTGATTCCGGAAGAGTACATGAGATGCCATTCGGATATATGACATCCGAGTCGAGACCTTCTCATAAAATTTTTTTTATCAGTTATACCCGTATTGTAATTATCATATTATCTAATAATAATAAATTGCAAAACCTTCCGGTTCGAGCCATATCTGGTGACTCTTGTGTTTGAATTTCAAAATTTTCGACTCAATAGATGGACAATAACGAGGACCTCTGACCTCTTCTCTGACATGTCGTGACAAATGAATGTTTTGCGTGATTAGATCTGTCACTCTTTCATCAGTAAATGTAAGCCAAGTATCTATTTGTTTGTCCTCCTATTTATTAAAAAAAATACAACAACAATAATAATAATCACTAATTGTTTATTATTATCTTCTATATGGATCAGTTGATTGCCGATATAGAGTTGTATACCTCTATCCATACGCGATCATTCATGAATGAGAAGGGAATGGGAGGTTTATCGCCATTAGTTGCCACTAAATTACTATAATCAATACTATTCTTATCGATTCTTGGAGGAGTTCCTATTGTTTTTAAAAAAACAAAACAAAAATAAAATAAAATATAAATTATTGTTAACTTCATTAAACGAGTTAATCGACTTTGAAATTTATATATATTATAAAAAAATGATAACCTGTTTTCAGTCGTCCCATTTGAAAGCCTACCGATTCCAGTGTATTGGCCAAACCTATTGCCGGCTCATCGCCTAAACATTTAATCAATTATTTTATTATTTTTGTATGACTTTTATGTCTTTGTTTTAATTCAATCCTTTTTCAAATTACTGTACCTATTCTTCCGGCTGGATATGAATCTAATCCTATATTAATAAGACCTCTCAGGAAGGTTCCCGTTGCCAGTACTACTGTGCGACCTCTTATATGCTGTCCATCGCCTTTAAACATGCAATTTATTTATAATATAATTTTATAGTAATATGATATTACTTGTGATAATGCCATGACATTGAAGTTTGTCTCCATTTTTATCTAAAATCAAGTCTTCAACCGAACAACATTTGACAGTAAGATTCGGTGTATTTTGCAATATCTCATTTTGCATCCATTTCCTATATAGGGATCTATCTATCTGTGCCCGCCATCCCTTTCAAATACAAAATATTACAGTATATTACCGGTAATAGCATATATTGTTAGCCAATAAGGTATATTAATAACACATTTTTAAAAAAAATTAATTAATAAAATTTGATATTAAAACTAATATATCAATACCCAAACAGCCGGTCCTTTACTTCTGTTTAATATTTTGTATTGAATTCCGGAAAGATCTGCCAATTGGATGATTCATTTGAAAAATAATTTTGTTTAAAATAATAATAATTATTATTATAATGATAATCGTCAGTCAATTTATCATTTACCGCATATTTTGCCACAAATGCCATCCATGGCATCGATCTCTCTCATGAGGTGTCCTTTGCCGATACCACCAAATGCCGGATTACAAGACATTTCACCTAAAAAAATGGTGTATTTATTTCAAACTTATTGTTAAGTGTTTTGTATCTTCAATATAATAATGTATTGATAATTATTAGCTAATATTTACCAATAGTTTGTGTCTTATGTGTCACTAATAATACATTTGTGTTCATACGAGACGCCGCACTCACGGCCTCAACACCTGTCAGCCGGGATATGCAAATGAATCAGTAATTAATTAGTTTTTTATATGTATATAAATAAGTGGTCACTGACCTGCATGACCGCCGCCAATGACAATGACATCGAAATCATAGGTCGAGTTTAGTCGCAAACATT